ATCGGATTTTGGTCGAATTCCAGATAAACTTCAATTGAAAACCCCCCATTTTCTTCCGAACACTGTTATGAAATCAAACATTTTTTGTCCAAAAAACTTTTGAATTTAGTTTACACCGAAATTAACGTTATCTGTATTTTAGTAACGATATTTTTTGTATATCCTAGAGGGTTCGAAATGATTCCATTTAAAAAGTATACTTTTATTATGTATGACACGATCGTTTTTATAGGGAGTAAAATCAGGGATCCTACTATATATAAAAAAATAGTGTTTGTGTGTGTGTGTATATTTGCATGCACTTCCGTTAGGATGTTCCGCTCCTACAGCCTCGGGGGAGGGTTTTTTGGATAGGGAAGAAACGATAATAGGTTTAGAATGGTCCGGAATCGACTGCACACACATAAAAATTTTGAAAAATTGTGGTTTTTTCTATTAAAAATAGGTTTTTGTAAAACCCTGTTTGTTAGGGGAAATTACCATACGCCGGAAGTTCGAAGAGCCTATATAAAGGGACAGAGGAGCCGTTTTTCACTTCTTTCTTGCTAAAATTCAGGAAGAAACATGCAAATTAAGGACTTTCACAGGTCCTGGACGGGGCCAGGGTTGAAAAGCCGCGAAGCGGTTTTTCAACCCTGTTAGGTTAATGAATTCCTTAAGATTGCTAAACTGGTTGCAAATTCGTGAAACATTTTTTGTTTAATTTCAAACTTTCACGTTTTATATATGACATTTTCCAAACTTAGTATTCCCAAATTATCTCCGCTAGATTGCCCTCCCCTGGATCATCTTATTTCTTGAAAAAATCTCAGCTAGCCTGCACAGTTTTTTTTATTTGTTTTGGATCTGATTTCCTATCGATACGAACAAATCGGTTTATTGAATATTTATTGAACCACAATTGTTCATTTTTCTGCTTGAAACCCTTTATTACCATTCTGGCTCCCTTCAATTCCCGTGCTTGTTAGTTTTCGTAAATTTCCTCTGCTAGCCTGCCTTTTTCTTGAGGCCCACAAGATTCGGAGGTATTGTGTAAAACATTAGGATATCCCATAATTAATAAATCCATCAATCAATCCAATATAATTGCTTTAAGGGTTGTCAAATTTACGAAATTCTAGATGAGTTTTATACGCTTATTCTAACGGGAGTGTACGGTATGGAATATGGAATGTGCTGTATTGGAATAATAATTTAACTATCTGCCGAGCAGTGCTATGAAATGAAACATCCTTTCGCGAAATTCTTTTAAAACTTGTTTTAGGCCGGCACGAATTTTACCTGGATTTTGAAAAACAGTGGTTTTTTCTATATAACCCGGAAAGTCTTAAATGACTTGTTTCTCGAAAGTAACTTTATTCTTTATTTATATTGCCACGAGTTCATTTGCCGAGGCGTTCCATGCCGCATTAATCCAAACGAATCACAATCGGGTTGCAACAATCATGAAACATGCTTTGAATTTCGGGCCACAATTTTGTCTAGATATATTTTTTAATGTCCAGGCTCAGTAGTCTCAATATTCTCTGCCAGCCCGTTATGCCTTCCCCCAAAATGCCTCAAAGAATCCCTGCTGGGCGCCCGGTTTCTCTAGTTTTTGGTTTCGATCTGATTTCATTGACCAGACCGATTTCCTGTGATATATATTCGCTCGAAATTGTTCAGGTTTCGGCTTGAAACCCCTAATTTTTGATGGCTGTTCGAATTTCTTGTCTGTTTTACGGAAGCTTTCTCTGCTAGCCTGCCCTTTACTGGGAGCTCGCAAGAATTTGGGGTGCCAGGTAAAAAAGTTAGGGAATCCCAGGGCTCGGAGGCTAATTTGCGAAATATGGCGTTAGTTTTATTGGTTTCGAAGGTTATCTTGATTCTAATCTAATTAACCTTCTATTCTATTTCTAATTAACCACGCCATTTATTGCCATACGGCCAGAGATAAACCGTGTTTTTGTAAAAAAAATTTGTTTGCACCGATATGAATTTTAACGATTCTCAGAACCCGTTCTGTTCCATTTTGGCTGAAAAATAGGCGACCGGTTATTTAGAAATTCCGCTATCATATCCTTGCAGCGGTATATATTAAGAGACCAGATGGTTACAGTCGCTTCGCGACTGCAACCATCTGGCCTTCGGGCTACCCCACATGCCCCACTCCACCACATCCTTTCCCACCTCCATCAATACCCCCAATGCCGAAATCCCGTTCAAAAACCACCTAAATATCTTCCTGATGGCTTCAGATACCCCCCCCCCCCATAGCCGAAATCCCCGTCAAAAACTACCTAAATACTATACTTCGCCAACCACCCCGGGTGGTACCACCCCTAGGGGTGGTTGGAGGGTGGGGCGGGGGGTGGTTGGGGGGTGGTCGTGGGGGGTGGTTGGGGGGTGGTCAATGCATTAGCCACCCCAACCCACCCCTTACAAAATTTTTTCATGATTTGGCAATAAAAGCTTGTTCGAGTCAGATATGCTCCCTCAAAGACAATGTATCCGGAAGACCAAAAAGTTTTATTGCCAGATCATGAAAAAATTTTGTAAGGGGTGGGGTGGGGTGGCTAATGCATTGACCACCCCCAACCACCCCCAACCACCCCTCTGACCACCCCCCAACCACCCCCCACGAGTAGTAGCCTTCCGGGAGAGGGGCCCCCACTCGTTTTATTAAGGCACCACTTTCAAAGTTAATTTTAATAATTTAAACTAAAACTTTTTCATAATTTTTTTATCAGTTTGGGGGTTTCTGACGGCGCTCTATCCGAATCCGAAGAGACCTAAGCTCTAGCTCTTTTCCCCTTCGAGTTGAATTCGGCTTCAGACGGACGGACGGAGACCACAACAAAATTATTATAGTTGATTGAACAGCGAGAACGTATATCAGAGATAATAACAAAGTAAATAGACCGTGAATTTAAAAAAATGGCTGTTTCTCAAACATAGTGTAAGTCAAAACTAGGTTTATCTGGATTTCAAAATATTGCGATTTCTGTTTCTACATAGCCCGGAAAGGCCCAAATCACAAGGCATGTGATTATTTATCGAATCGTTTTTCGAGAATCCACCAGGAACGGTGCGTCTATTAAACCCAAAAACTTCACTAAGCGACTCCCCAAATCGTGAATCATACACTTTTTATCGCTGAAAAAATATTTCGTTTAATACTTTTTCCAAGCTCAGTAGTCCCAAATGATCTTTGGCAGCCTATCCTTTATCTCTTCCGCTCAAATCCCTCAAACAATCTCTGCTAGCCTGCCCTCCTCTCGGGGTCCGTCCATTTCCTCAAGCAATCTCTGCTAGCCTGCCCTCCTCTCGGGGTCCGTCCATTTCCTCAAACAATCTCTGCTAGCCTGCCCTCCTCTCGGGGCCCGTCCATTTCCTCAAACAATCTCTGCTAGCCTGCCCTCCTCTCGGGGTCCGTCCATTTCCTCAAACAATCTCTGCTAGCCTGCCCTCCTCTCGGGGTCCGTCCATTTCCTCAAACAATCTCTGCTAGCCTACCCCAGCCATCAATCGATAATTGGCCCAAAGCACCCTCTCGTTCCATTTTGTTTACTCGTCAATTGTAGCCCAGCGTAGTCGAGTGATTTGACAAACTGTCAAGCCCACCGACGTGTGAAGTGGCTTCTTCTTAGAAACTGCAAAGTGTGGAGAAAACCAGGCTGCTTTTTTAAATTTCTTTTTGATAGACCTTGGCGCTTCCGAAATGCACTCGGACCTCGGCCTCCCACGGAAAACACTCCAAATTGCCCATCCAAGAGTTGTTGATGCTTCTAGAAGCTTTACCGGGGGCGACAGTTCGGGTTGAAAGTTCGAAAATCGGGGGCAGAAAAAGAGGATGTTTCGAATAATCTGCGACTGAATGACGCTGAGCCGCAGGCAGTATACCGGCGACTTCGAACAAAATAAATATCGAGTGTACTTTTTTTGCTTCTTAAGTTGTTGTGTTTATTATCTTTTACCAGCGCCCAAAACCCGCTTCGCGGGCCTTGGGCGCTGGAATGCGGCCTTTGCATGAAAAAATTTGACATTCCGATAGCTCGGGTCCTGCGGACCGCCCGCCCCCGACCAAACTCGCGAGTGCAACTGGCAAGAATGATCAAATTTCTTTTTTTTCACATTATGCAAATTAGCCATCAGGTACCCCCAAAAATGAATAAAGCCGTCTTTAACTTTGTAAACTTGTATTTTATCGAAATTCTAAAAACGCCGCCGGAAAGAGGAGGGTCGATTCCCCCGAGTGACGGAGAATTGGGGCGTTTTGGACACGGGAAGGCCCTCAAATCGGGCCTCGAAACTGACATCCACACACACACACAAAGATACACACCAAAATTATATAAGGTAGGATTATCAAAACCTCCCCACCCTTTTTAAACAGTCAAAGAAGTTAAAGTTCTTCACATTTTGGTGTGTATGTTAGTTTGTGAAGAATTAGGAAACGGCGCATGAAAATTTGCATATTTCGAAAACTTGGCGGGTTGTAAATCTAATTGGTAGTAGCTTAAAGGGACTCGGCAGCCAATAGGATCAGGAGGGTGCCAAATGTTTCAAAAAATTGACGGGTAACAGGGTCCGGAAAGTGAGCAATCCATTTGCACCGAAAGCTGGCTGCATCTAAGGGCTCCAGCGCCCTGTCGCGCTCTCTTTCTCTCTCTCTCTCTCTCTCTCTCTCTCTCTCTCTCGGTATTTCTCTGTCCAGATCTATCTTAACATCCAAGGTATAAAGTTTGTTTTGGAGATTTCCGGAAACCGAGTTTAGGAAAAAATTCTAAATTTCCTGGAAATAAATTAATTTGATTGAATCGATTAATTAAACGGAAATTAACTGACGAAATTTATCTGATTAAATTGTCTTTCGATTTGTGGATCCGCCGGTTTTTCGAAAAATATCTTTAATTGCGAGTTTCTTATGCTTATTATACATTTCAATCGCTTAATTTTTTAGAATTTTCGATAAACTTACATTTTTATTTTATTAACTCATTCAATCCACGATTTTTCAGACCGACAACCCGATGCGGACATCAAGGAGCCAGGTGGTGACGGTATTTTTGCATTTTAAAGGGCCATGGAAGCCCCCAAAAACGATCGATATCTCCCGAAAATCAGAGCTCGCAGGCCAGGTGAATGTTTATTGTTCCTATAAATGTTTTAAAAGCCTTAAAAATTAATTAAAATCAATGTTAAATGTTCCCCAGCATGTGCATGGCCTCGTGTCCCGCAAAAATCGATGAGACTCGTTCAAGGAAAATTGAAAAAAATTGAGAAAAAATAAAATGTTTTAAAAAGTTTTAAAAAACCAAAAAAAATCAAAAGATCAATTTTCTCATCAATGGTTTCGTTCGTACTTGTTCCGTCCTTTTTTAGTCGCCAGCGACAAGGGCAAGCCGAAGGCCGATGAGGAAGGTATCGCAATTTAATGAATAAAATTATTTTAATTTTTATTTATAGAAACCACCGCCGAAAATGCGACTGATAAACGGTAGGTATATTATAAGCATTTAATTAATAATAGCTATTTTGATAACAAGCTTTCAAATCCGGTAATAATTTGTTTATCAATTCTAATGATACAAAATTAAAGTGAATAACGCATTTTTTTTTAAATAAGTAAAGTTTTAATAAATTTCAATTTCAATTCATATAAGCATTTTTTATTACTTTTATAATAACACCGAATTAAAGTATATGCGTAGATTCACTTTAAATGTTTCAATTTCGTAAGCATATTTTCAGAGATTTTTCTAGGCTAATGACTCCATCTGATCTAATTATCCATCAAAAATAATGAAGGGTTTAAAAATTTTTGCTACTTTGATCTCTTCGCGTTTTTGGTTCCTTTGCATTATCGGGGGAGGGTCCCTTATCATACATATCTTAAAAACAATTTTTTGCTTTAGGAGCCAATCTTTACTAATATCATTCCTAAACGCAAAAACTGCAAACCATTTATACCTATTTTTCGTAAAAAAATACGAATTTTTAGGAAAACGTTAACGTTTTTTTGGTTATTTGGCACTAAAAACACTTTAAAAATTACTTTTGTGTTATTAGGCCTTACAAGGTCAATACGAAAAAAGCTGTTTCCTTGCCTGATCCCCCCCGGTAATGGAAAAGCACCGAAAAAGCCCTATGAAAATAGCTAATCCAATTAAATATTTTGCTATTTAATTAGATAATAGTAAAATTGTAATGTTAGTTATCATTTATCTTGCGATAATTCCGGTGGTTGACACGCCACTAAATAGCCAATTTGGCGAAACACAATTTTTTAACCGTTTTTTTTTGAAATTCCAATGAATCGTTAGCGTCTATAAATAATAATTCTAAATAATAAATAAGCAATAATAAGCAATAATAAATAAATAATAATAAGCAATAAATAATAGTAACCAACATAAACAGATAAATTCCGTTTCAGTGAAGCGTTCAAATCGTCTAAACGGCGCTCCACCGAGAAGCAGCTCACGAAGAATTTGCATGTTAAGGTAGGAGGGTGTAAAAAAATAAAGCACAAAAAATATCCAAAACAACAAAATAAATAATAGGGAATGGAATCCATGGAACTGATTGTTAATAGAATCGTTCAGGTATTAGACAAATAGGAAACATATTTTTTTTTTGAAGAGCCGAAAGGCTTTGGGGTGAAAATAAGCCAAAAAATTGTCCTACACAAATGTTTAATACCCAAATCGATACATAAAAAGTTTATAGATGTAGATTTAGAGGAAATTTACTAGGCTGTTCTGAATTCAAATTCAGAATTTTTAGATTGCGCAGTACACGCGAAAATTAAACGAGCTGTAAGGGCGCGCAATGCCCGGTTTAATGAAACTTTCAATATATCGACTTTTTAAGCTAAAAAATTCAGTTCAGAATATAATAAAAAAAATCAAATTATGCAAATAATTGCCATTGCCTGAAAAAGGCGATTTTTTGGAACAGCACATGCAAACAACGGATTGCCACTTTTGACTCACAAGCTGATCGAGAACGAATGTGAAACATAAATTTTAGCTGGGCTTGGAATTCATGGAATTCCAAGCCACTCCGCGGGCTACGGATTGCACTTTTCCGAAACGCACTTTTTTTAATTTTTACAGGATCGGGCCGCATTGTTTCGGTCCAAACGAGGTTCAAAGTGATTAAAAAAATTTAGTTCACTTAAACAAATAAAAAATAAAATTAGTTATTAAGGACCGGGCAAATTGAAATATATCAATTTCGAATAGAGCCAAAAAATTATTTTTACACCAAAATTTTGTTTTTTTCTGTTGAACTTTTCTGCAATTACGATTTGCTCCCCCAGCTTATACTGCCAATTTTCAGAAACACACATTTTCAGCTCAATTAATTTTGAATGAAGCTCGCTCAGCCCAAATAAAACATTTTGATACAAGGAAATGAAAACGTGCAAATTTATTAGAATATTGATTAAGAACATAGCGGAAAAAACCGACTTAAGGCGCCGAACGCTGACCGAGTTGATTAAATTGCGATTGGCTTGGACAGGGGATAACCTAAGTCCTTTGAAACATTAATTTTTCAATGGAATGGTTTTCGTAAACTTCCAAATTTAATTTTGATAATGAATTCAGGTATATCAGTCGGTTAAAATTAAATATATTAATCATGTAAAAAGTATATATACAAAAAATAAATAAAAAATGTTCCTATCCGAATCCTCTTTGTTTAGGGCGCCGAAGGGCTCGGAGATGCACTCTCCGAAGTCACCGCCGAGGCCGAATTCAGCGGTGATGAGCAGCAAGAGAAAAGTGTTGGTCATCTACCTCACCAGGAAAAATCGAGGGCCTCGCGTCGCACCCTCGAATCCACCGACCGGCGCACCACCATCGACTCGGAATTTTCGCAGGCCGAGGAGTCTGAAGCCGCCGAATTTGGGGCAAGATCATCTACCAGCCAAAAGACCTCCAAGAAAACCCGCGAGCCCAAGGCCCGGGAGATGAGCCTCGATTCGGAGCTGAGCCGGGCTGAACTTGCTGGTGACGCCGAGGGGTCAGGAAGGGCCGGAGTGAAGTCATCTACCTCCAAGAAGGTCAAGAAGTCCAAGGATCTGCTCACCGGAATTGAGGCGTACGTCGAGAAACAGGAAGAGAGCCAGTCGGCCGACATTTCGGAGGCCGACGCCAACAAGGTCAGCGCCAAGAAGAAGATCAAGGAGCCGAGGCGCGCCTTGCCGAAGTTGGAGTCGGAGAGTCACGATTCTGAGCCGGACCCATCTCGCATTCGGGAAACCGGAATCGATTCCGATTTTTCGAGAGCTGAAGCTGAACATGAAGCCGGCGTGACTGGTGCTAAAAAATCGAAGAAGAAGACCAAGAAATCGATCAAGGAACCGGAGAGCCATACCTCCGATTTGGACGCCGACTTCAAGAAGGACAGCGAAATGGCTGGAGCTGAAATTGGAAATCAAGAAAAATCCAGTGAGTCGGCTTCAAAACGAGCTCGAGAAGCCGGCAAGTCAAAAACCGGGCTTACTGAAAGCTTCGAAAAAGCGGGAGAAGCCTCTGAAGCTCATGCTCAAGCGGCTCTTGCTCGCAAGGGAAAATCCCAGGCCTACCGGGAGAGCTCAATTGACTCAGAATTTGCTCGAGATTCTGAAGCCCTAGCAGCAGATGGTGCGCAAAAGTCGCGCTCCCGCGATAAAGCCAAAAAGAAGCTCAAGCAACCCGGGGCCTCAAAAACCTTCCAGGAGCTCGAGCTCAAGGGCAACGAAGCTGCTGAAGCCACTGAAGCTCAAAAAGCGCTTACAAGGAAAGCTAAAGGAACTGCCTACCGAGAATCATCTACCGATTCTGAATTTGCTCGCGGAGATCAAGAAGGTCAAGCTGGAGATGTACAAGCTTCAAAATCCAAAGCCCAAGCTCGAAAGCAAGCTCGCGAAGCCAAACTCACCGGCATCGACGCCAAGGAGTTCAGTGCGAGCAAGGACGAAGATTCTGAAGCTGCACAACAAAGCCTAGCCGCTCAAGACCGTGCCAAAGCCCAGAAGAAGCTTCGTGAAGCCAAACTCACCGGCGTCGACGCCAAGGAGTTCAGTGCGAGTAAGGACGAGGACTCTGAAGCTGCACAGCAAAGTCGAGCAACTCAAGATAAAGCCAAGGCCAGGAAGAAGGTCAAGGGCTTGACCAGCCAGGAGAAGAACGTCGACTTGGACATGTCCAGGGGCGAGGAGTCTGAAGCTGCTGAACAGGCCCAAGTTGATGCTCATAAGAAGAAGCTCAAGAAGAAGGTGAAAGAGCCGGGACAGCGAGATTTTTCGGTAGATAGCACTATCTCACGAGACGGCTCGACTGGTGCTGCTCATACCATCTTGAAGACGGGCGACAAGCTGTACCAGCGCAAGAAGATGAAGTCGGTCAGCTTCGAGCAGTCGTTGTCGGAAGATCTGCTACAGAAACCTGGCGAAGAAGCCGGTGCCGAGGCGACGAGACGAAGCAGTTCATCTGAGGCCGCGAAAAAGAGAGTGAGGGGCACCACCTCGAAGTCGGCCTCCAGGGACTCGGAGATGTTCAGGGAGGGTGAGGAAGAGGGAATCGAGGCCAGCTTGGACGGCTCGACGACGTCGAAAACTAAGAAGAAGCTGCGGGCTGCTGGAGATGAACGCGCCGAACTTGACGCGGAGTTTGAAGGCGATTCTGTAGCTGCTCAAGCTGAAGCTACGTCTAACTCGAAGTCCAAGGCCAAGAAGAAGTCCAAAGTCCGGGGCACCACCTCTGAGAACATCTCCGGCGAGTTCGGCCTGGATTCGGAGGCTGAACGGCTTGAAGGTGAGGCCAACCTGGGGGGCGTCGACTCGAAGAAGGTCTCCAAGAAGTTCAAGGCCTCGGCAAGTGAGGAGGCCGAGCTTCGGGCGGAGTTGGCCCGCGACTCCGAGCAGTCCGAAGCTCAGAAAATTGAGCATGAGAAAAATGAAGCCAAGGATGAAGCCAAGCTGAGTCAAGCCGAAAAATCAAAGCTGAAGAAGAAGAAGAAGGCCGGCGAGGCCGAGAAGTTCACCTATGAAAATTTGGGCGCTCCGGAATTTGTGAAGAAGCAGCGCGACTTGAGGGCCGAAATCGGCTCGACGGCTGTGATCGATGTGAAAATTCAGGCGAAGGAGAAGCCGAAGGTGGGTAATTTTAAATTAATTTAAAGTATAAAATTGTGAACATAACTTTAACGCTTACAAAATATGTCAAATAGTGGTTGTTAAATTCCTTAAATTTTTTAAATTTTTGGAAAACTTTTTACAAAAAATGTTTCGCGAAAGTTTAAGTTTCCGAGCATATTTTTATGGCGAATGGTTAGCCTGCTATAACGTTCAATATCCCTAATTTTTGTATTAAATATATAAGAAATTAAATTAATTTAAAATTCCTTAAAAGTTCTCTGGAATTAATGAAACATAAAAATGGGATTCTATGGCTTATATTTTTCAAAGTCGCTAATTCGCTTATGCATTTTGAAGGATGAAAAGGCGGTCTCGATTAAAATTCACAAGCTACATTAATGGGGAATATTCGTTGAAACAAGCATTTTTCAAATTTGTCTAAAACCAATTTTTTAAATAATGCGATACTCGATGTCTTTTAAACTAAATTTTAGTAAAGCACATTTTAGCAAAGCTAAATAAGAAAATCAAAGTTACTATTTATTATTACATCAGTTTTTTCGATTTACTAAATTTTTGATAAAACGCATTTTTTTAAACGTTAAGATTTGTTGTAAGCTCCTTTTAACTGTAATTTTTCTAGATATCCATCTACAAGGACGACGGGAAGCTGGACGAGAAGTCTCGTGAGGCTACCGTAGCCTTGAGCCGTGATGGAGACTTGTGGTCATTTTCGATGGTTCTGCCCGACGTGCAAAAAGCGGATGCGGGATCTATTCGGATTCAAGTCCAGAATGCGGAAGGCCAGGCTGAGCACGACTTCAAGCTCGCTGTGGGAAAACCCGGTAAGAATAGACCTAGGCTTAGGCTTAGGCTTATATTTGGCTAAGATTTGGCTTAGGCTTAGGCTTAGGCTTAGGCTTGGCTTTGGCTTAGGCTTAGGCTTTGGCATCCCCCCCCTTTGCCTAGATTGAGGCTCAACCCTTCGTAAAATAATTATTCAATATAATTTTGAAAACTTTATCTTTATAAATTTTGGTAAAAACCCATTTTTCTACAACGAAGCTTCCAAAAGATTTAGAAAAAATTAAAGTATCCGAAAAGTTTGAAAAATTAAAAATTGTTAAACCCGTGGTGTATTCTGATAATTAATAAGATCTATGTCGCGCGCCATACTTAATATAAATAAACACTAATAAATACTAAATGGTTTTAAACATATTTTTACTGTATTTGCAAGATAAGAAAAAATTATAATTTTTATTACGGTTATTAAAATCCGCCAAAAAATCGAGAAGAAAAAAACAGAAATTTGATGGGGTAGTTTATCCGTTTGATATCTTAATTTATCCACTCCTCCCAATGGCGACATTAGAGTTTCAAAAAGCACTCTAACGTTGCAATTTTCTAAAACATTAAATTTTTCTAATAATTTTCCAAAAAAATACAGACCGAAAAAGTAGAATAATGCGCTGCGTATCGCGGGTGTAAGCCTAAAACTTTCTCTGGAACTGACCAATATGTTTTCTGAAACTTTGCCCCCGAATACTTTTCCCGAAAGCTTTATTTGGAACCATGAATTCCAAAAATTCAGAAGCCCGCGGAAAGCTGGACTTTGAAGCTCCGCATCTACTCACCGCCTTGAAGGACCAGGTCGTCATGGAGGGCGAGACGGCTAGGTAGGAAGTTTTTTAAAAGTCGATTGATCTAATCGTTCGAATTCCAGTCACTAAAATCTAAGATGTAGTTTAAGATATCTCAATTTAAAAGTTCTTTTACTAAATAAAAACGGGAATTAAAGAATTATACTTCATGGAGTTACGAAACATTGATTTCCGAAATGGGTTAGTCGATTACGCTACCTAGTTCCCCGTTGTAGAATTCAACGGCGCGGCTCCTAAAACACCATTTCGCAATTTACACTAGCTTAGTAAAGAAATTAGAAATTTCTGATTCATAAAAATTGATGATCCGGTGGAATTTCGCTAGGGCAATCATCGTGGCATTTTCCTTACCTGCTTTTCCACTAAAATAAAATACTAAAAGCATGCTGAATAAAATGTCAGTAATCGATTACGCTACGTTGTAGCAAATTGTAGACGTTTACTTAGGCTGTAAGGCCGCGTTTAGAAAGGCTATTTGCAAAACCTAAAAATTTGGTAAAATGTTAGAAATTTGATGTTACATAAAAATTTGACATGATGTAGTCGTCGAACAGGTTAATGAAAGGTACTCTTTTAGTCACTTCCCGTCTTCTTCTGTGCCAAGAAAATAAAACAACAAATTAATAAAGCAAAATGATTCATCAGTTTCGCTCTATAATGTCCCTTTCTAGACTGCAAGGACGCGTCTCCGGTTACCCGGCGCCCGAGCTGGTTTGGCTGAAAAATGGAAAGGAATTAGCTGTGGCCGAGGACCCGCGATTCGACCTACAGTACCGCGAGGAGGATGGGCAGGTGAGGAATTCATTTTAAATTTTTTTTATTCCTATTGGAAGCTATGAAATTGATTTTGGATTCCATACTCGGAAAATATATTAACAAAGAAATACCGTTTGACTCAAAATAAAAAACTGAAACATGACTTTTTATCACCTTGAGAGCATTGATTGACAGACTAGCAGAGATCATTTGGGAGGAGAGAGGGAGAGGCAGGCTAGCAGAGATTGTTTGAGGAAATGGACGGACCCCGACGGGGGGGGGGGGCAGGCTAGCAGAGATTCCATCCAAATTTTTTGGCGAACCGAAAGCATTAATAGATGCTCTGTTATTTCAACTTATTACACCTAGCTAATTTTCTCGCAACCCAAGTTATGCTGAAACTTGAAATTTCTAGGAGAGGGAGGTCAGCAGTGGAATAGGCTCAAAATATACTAATAAAATTAGAAATACTTAAATAAGTTATTAAACTCAAATTATATAAGATATAAGCTATTTTATTAAAACCACCTATTAATATTAACACATTTTTCAGATCGACCTAGCCATCCGCGACTGCACGTTTGCCGACGACGACGAGTACAGCCTGCTGGTGGAGAATATTGCCGGGGTCGACAGCTGCAATTTCGAGCTGATCGTCGAGTGCCCAGGTTCGAAATTATTTTCTCATGTTTCCTCAGAAAGAAAAAGCGGAAAACTTTCAGAAATACATAAAAATCATAGAAATTCAGATCATGCAACTTTTGCAAAAAAAAATGTTTTGTAGAAATTCCTTAGGACCCAGCATTTATATTGATTTAATCTCGACATCACTGCCTTTAATTTCAAAAAACTTAATTTGCTTTCTAAATTTCGTTCTGAAAAATATTTCACCAAAAGTGCTTGAGACGGGGTAATTATTTTAATGCAATTCTGCCTTCTTTTACTAAAACTTGTAATTTTTTTGAAAAATCTGTTTTGTAAAAAGTCCTTGTGATTGATATACGGTATATTAATTTTTTTCTACCTTCTTATTTTTCCCAGCTATATTTTCCGCTTTAGTTTACGATGACGCTGCCCGGTTCGCGCGAAGGCGTACAAATAAGAAAACCCGTAAGATGCAGCGTCAGGATGAGGTGGCCGGGACATCAGACTCGGAGATCGAGCTCGAGCAGCAGAAAAAGAAGAAGGGCAAACGAGCAAAGAAGGTGAGGAGAGAGAGAGTGAGAGTGATAGAGAGAGCGGGAGAGAGTGCGCGTGTATGCGATTGTGCACCAAATGAATTCTTGATAATAATGCGGAAATCAATGAATGACTTCACCAAAATGCTTGAAACATCCCCCTAACAGCTTTTCTTGGAAATTGCGACTGAAAAAATATTTCTTAACGGAAAAACTAATATCGAAATAATATGGATAATATGAAATATTTTTAGTTAAAAAAGCTTTTTTCGTAAACAAATTCGGAAAAGGAGAAACCCATTGAAGCAAAAAAACATCGCAATTTCGAGCCTACGCTAAATTAATGCCATCAACGATTGCGTAAATAACGAATCATTTTAAACATTTTTGATTTCGGATTTTCTCATCAGTGGAACTTGTCGATTGATTGTTTTGTTCCAATTCGCTGTCAAAACGCACCATCGGATATGAAAATTACTTTGCAAGGTATATAAATTTTATTACGTTTAAATAACCAGGTTTTTAATGCCGATCCATTGTGAAGCAGGAGATTTTCGAAATTGGGGCCTTGACCGAATTAAACTTACGACAAGCACCTGGGAACCAGAGAAAATTTGAAACATTTCAACTTCAAAACTTCACATTCATTTACTTTCAAATGTAAGAACGCCTTTTCTTGGTTCAATTTTAGTCTTAAAATCGAGGATCGGATCGATGTTTTTAATTAACTAAAATTAAACTTATCCTACTATATATAAAAAAATAGTGTTTGTGTGTGTGTGTATATTTGCATGCACATCCGTTAGGATGTTCCGCTCCTACAGCCTCGGGGAAGGGTTTTTTGGATAGGGAAGAAACGAGAATAGGTTTAGAATGGTCGGGGATCGACTGCACAAACATAAAAATTTTGAAAAATTGTGGTTTTCGCTATTAAAAATAGGTTTTTGTAAAACCCTGTTTGTTAGGGGAAATTAGCATACGCCGGAAGTAGGAAGAGTCTATATAAAGGGACAGAGGAGCCGTTTTTCACTTTTTTTTCTTGCTAGAATTCAGGAAGAACATGCAAATTAAGGACTTTCACAGGTCCTGGAGGGGGCCAGGGTTGAAAAGCCGCGAAGCGGTTTTTCAACCCTGGTCGAACCATAAAAATTTATATAGCTGAATTTGTAAGTGAACGGCGACCAGTAAGACATATGATTAATGCCACAAATTTCCGGACAAATAGGAAAAATTGTGAAACATATCTGCTTCCCAATTTCACCAAAATCAAAGGGTACTATTTTCTCTATTTTAATATGTAAATGGAAGATGAAGCCGTATTTTTAGCCTTAGTAAATTTGCATTTTTATCGATTTTAAGGCTAGGGAAAATGAAAATAGCGCTTTTGTCCAGGTGGCTACGCGCCGAAAAGTTGTTTTAAGATTTTTGACATGAAAAAATTTTATATACGAATTTAAACGCTGAAAATCGTGAAGCAAATGTTTTTTCCAGGTATTCGAGCGGAGCAACTCGTTGGCCAAGCGGATGACGCAGCTTTTGCCTCCGAAGTTCGAGAAAATTTTGTCGGACCATGATGCGCTCGAGGGAGAAAGTGTTATAATGTCTGTAGCGGCCCGAGGAATCCCCGAACCAGATATCCACTTCTACCGCGACTCCAAGATGATCGAGCCGGACGATGATCGGGTGTGTTTCGGGATTTTTGATGCCAGAATTCTTTGACCATTAACAATTAACAAAAAAGTGGGAAACCGAAAAATGGGTGAAACATTTTTTGGGAAAGTTAGATAACCAAACCAAGAGGGAATTAAACGTAGACGTAAGATAAGTAAAAATCAGACAATAGGAAAATGTAAATTTAAATTCAGGAAACCATGTTTCATAAAATAAACCAATTCAAGAGTGAAGAACATATTTAATAATGCTTTGAGTCATAGTGATTTAACAAAAAAAAATACCGAGAATTTCTCCGCTGGAATTTGAATAAAATTCTAGAATTTTAAAATTTATACATGGCCATTTTAAGCTACCTATTTTAAATTATTATTTAACATACAGAAAAATATAGTTTTTCGACTAAGTATGGCCCTTTTTACGACAAAAAATTGCATCTTGTAACAATTATTTGAAGTTTTTAGACTTTTCTCTTAAAATATAGTTAATTTTTGCTAAGAACACGATTTGAATCCGTAGTGTTAAGTTGATCCTATATTAACTTAATTTTTGGGCCTGTAGGAAAAAATGTCCTTTTGATAATAAAAATAAATAATAAATAAAATAATACCATAAATTAAAAAATAATGCAAAAGAACCGATGTAACCCCTATTAAACTATCATTTTTCAGGTGTTCATCCGTCGCGGTGGTGCCGAGGGTGACCATAGTCATCAGCTGATCCTCAAAGATATCCACAAGGATGGCGAGGCAGAATATGCATGCCAGGCTGTGAATATTGCGGGGGAAGCGTGGTGCTTCTCCGAGCTCGTTGTCCACTCGTCCAAAGGTGTGTGTCCCGTGTCGATCGTATTTTTCACAAGCAATCTATTTTTCCCACGATTTTCTTTACCTTAAACCAAAAAAGCAATAAGTTCGACACCACCGGGGTTCGAACTCGGGCCATACGCCTGATAGGCAAGAACACTACCACTTTACCACCCGCCTGACCCCCCCTGGCCGAGTGGCAGAGCTCTTGCCTCATGCGTGTAGGATGCGGGTTCGAGTCCTGGACGTGACAGCTTTTTGATTTTTGGGATAAAACACTTGATTGAGCTTTTAAAGGGTTTTTGAAGCCAAACAGTCATAAACTAAACGTTGAAATTTTTGCGCTCCAGTAAATTCGGTCAGCATGAAAATGAATGTTTCGAAGAAATACCAATTACAGATAGCATTGACGGCCTCAATGGTCTATTTTTGCGCGAGCATTCAATCTGAAAACGCAATTATTTAGTGGCATTCAGCAGATTTTTTTAGATAGTTCTAGATTAGCAAATAGCCGTTTTTCGCATTGCGCACTCAAAATCAATGTTTCGAAAGAATACCTATGACCCCGAAAATTTCCGGTTTCATTCTTGCTCTTGCCACTAATCTTCCAATATTCACACCGTTTACAGGTGTTAGCCATTAGGCAGCCCGATCGGTGTGGCCGATTGGTAGTGTTCTAGTGTAAGGAACTACGGGTCCGGGTTCGAGTCCCCGGGCCGGGTATGCTTTTGCGTTTTGACAGAAAATCGATGATTATATGAGGGTATTTTAAAGCATGCAAAGTAAAATTTCTGCCATCACTTCCCTAGGATTTCGAAAACATGTTTCATGAAAATTGTAAGTCCGAGAATAATTAGGCTACCTTAGTAGTTCTTTATTTTCTTTCCTTTACCATACCAAAAATCTCCAAAAGACTAAAAACTAATTAAAAATCTGAAGCGGCCAGCATAGGGGGCTAAATGGGGGGTCAGAAAATAATGTTTCGAGAATGTTTCTGGATCATCGAAAATTGGGATCTAGAATGTAGCATCGATATCCCATTCTTTTCAGTGTCCCGCCGACGCGTCCATTTTCTGTCTTTTTTATTAACTCTAAATGTTGGAAGTGACCCTAATCTTATGTTTTTATATGTCTTGAATTTTTGTATACTAATCTATTCCCAAAACCAAGGCAAGGGACAATAGGCATTTCACCTGCCTGCGATCTCTGTTTTAAAGGAAAAAATAGCGGTTTCGCATATTTTAATAATTTTAAATACACATTTTCCGATTTTTAAATTATTTTGAATTAGTGCAAAATTCAAAGGAAAAATTCGATGATTAAATCTGCGCAAATTCAAAAAAATATTAATTTTAACTAAGCTGCAAGATGTGCCCATTAACATGGCAGAATCTTGAGGGTAACTGCATTTTTTTGAAACATAGAATTTTTTCTAGGGTTTCAAAAAGCTGGAAATTTTTGAGGCGACTACTGTAGTACTCGTACCCATTGTTGTCTCTATTTATAATTTATCAAGTTTTATTCCACATCGACTATTATGCAAATTCTTCAATTTTTCCAAAGCTGAAAATGCGTAAAATTTGAGACGGATTTCCGCTTCACACATTAAAGCGTGCCGCTTTTTCAAAAGCCAGAATTTTTTTGAAACAGTCAATTATCTCGTAAAATCCAAAATATTGTAAAATTTATTAAAGCAGCGATTCAACCCAATCTAGAAATGGCGTATTTTCGACCAACCTTATGACTAACTCAGGCATATCAAATTTCTGGATAACGAAAAATTCTCGAAACACATCAATTTTCCAAAAACAGACTAAAACTCGAGAGACTTTTGGTATCGTTATAACTGTTACGCCTAAATAAATTTAACTCATTTGCATTGCATAATTGGACGAATAAAAAAATCTATCTAGGATATATATAATTATCGCTAAATCAACCGTGGATTAGGCAACATAAATTTTTCTCGATAGCAAACTTTTTCGAAACATCTATTTTCTAAAATCCTAAACAAAATTTAAAAATTTTGGGATTGCAGCCATGAAATAATTAAAGATTTCCAATAAATAACTACAAAAGTATGTAAAAATACACAAAAAAATGTTTAGAACTCTCAAAAGCGCCCTATAACCCCAAATTTAGAAGGCTCCATCACCGGCGAGGAGCAGCAGAAGGCGGAGGTTTGTCAAATTGCCCCCCGAAAAGGGCAATTTTTTAGATAAAAATCACCGTAATTATTTTGGAGTCTACCCCCACAGGCGTGTGGTGCCTAATTTGCATGGGTGTTCCCCCCAACATTCCCCGAATTTTCAGGAGAAACCCAAGAAGAAGAAGACGGCCAAGAAGGACAAGAAGGACGAAAAGCTAGAGGAAGATGAAGCTAAGCCAGCGAAGCATGAGGATGAAGCTACGCCGGCCAAGCCAGTCGAAGCGGAAGCCAAGTCGACCAAGCCTGACGAAGCCAAGCCGGCTAAGCCAGTCGAGGCTGAAGCCGAAGCCAAGCCGGCTAAGCTGGAAGATGAAGCCAAGTCGGGCAAGCCAGCCGAAGCCGAAGCCAAGCCCGAAGAGGAGGCCAAGCCCAAGAAGAAGAAGACCACAAAGAAGGAGCCCAAGCTTGAGGAGCTTCAGGAGGAGGCCAAGCAAACTGAGGAGGCCGAAGCCAAGGCCATGCCGGAAGCTGAGCAAGCCAAGCCGGCTGAGCTAGAAAAGGAGGCCGAAGCTGAAAAGACCAAGAAGAGGGACGCCAAGGCCAAGAAGGAGGCTGAGGCGCAGAAGGAGGTCGAGCTCAAGGCGAGGGCTGAAGCGGAAGCCAAACAGGCTGAGGAGCTTAAGCAAAAGAAGCAGGACGCCGAAACCAAGGCTGAGAAAGAAAAGCAGGCTGAGCAGGACAAGCAAGCCAAGACCAAGAAGGAGGCTGAGGAGAAGCAAGCCGCTGAAGCCAAAGCCCAGCAAGAAGCCGAAGCCAAGGCAAAGGCTGATGCTGAAGAGGCCAAGAAGAAGGAGGCCGACTCCAAGACGGCCAAGAAGGAGGAGAAGGCCAAGCAAGAAGCAGAAGCCAAAGCTAAGCAAGAGGCGGAAGTCAAAGCCAAGTCTGATGCTGAAGCCAAAAAGCAAGCTGAGAAGGCCAAGGAGGACGAGGCCCAAGTCCAAAAGGCGAAGGTCAAGAAATCCGAAGCCGACGAAGCCGCCAAGGTTGAAGCTGAACAAGCCGAAAAACCAGCTGACGAGGCCAAGACCGAGGAGAAGAAAACGAAGAAGGTGACCAAGCGCAAGGACTCTGCAGCCAAGTCGGTCAGCGAAGCCGAGGCCAAGTCGATCCAGGAGGAGAAGACTGAAGCCGAGGCTAAGCTGGCTGAGAAGGCCAACCAAGAGGAAGCTAAGGCTAAGAAGGAGGAGGCCGAGGTTGTAGCTATGTCCAAGGCTGAAACTGAAAAGAAGGAGGCTGAGGCTAAGAAACAAGCCGAAGCCAAGACAAAGCAAGAAGCCGAGGAGACCAAGAAGAAGCAGGAGGCTGAAGCCAAGGTCGCTAAAGATCAGGCTAAACAGGACGAGAAGGCCAGGAAGGAGGCTGAGGCTCAGGCTAAACAGGAAGCTGAGGAAGCCCAGAAGAAGGAGGCTCAGGCCGAGAAGGAGAAAGCCAAGGCTCAAGCTGAGGCCATGAAAAAGGCTGAAGCCGACGAAGCTAAGCAAGTCGAGGCCGCAAAGTCGGCTAAGAAGGAGGCCGAGGTCAAGGCCAAGGCTGAAGCAGAGAAAGCCGAAAAAGAAGCCAAGGCTAAGAAGGAGGCCGAGGAGAAGGCTAAGCAAGCCGCTGAAGCCAAGGTTAAAGCTGAGGCTGAGGAGGCCAAGAAGGAGGCTGAGACTCAAGCTAAAAAGCAAGCTGAGGAGGCTAAGAAGAAGGAGGACGAGGTCAAGAAGTCCAAGAAGGCCGAAAAGGCCAAGACGGAGGACGAGGAGAAGGCCAAGCAAGAAATAAAGTCCAAATCCGAAGCCACCGAAGCCGAGCAAGTCGCCAAGGCCAAGATCGAGGAGGTCAAGGAGGAGACCAAGCCCGAAAAGCCAAAGAAGAAGAAGGCCGCCAAGAAGGACGAGACCGAGGAGGTCAAGGCTGAAGAACCCAAGGCAGCCGCGCCGAGCAAGACCAAGAAGGAGGCCGACGTCAAGAAGGAGCCCGAGCCCAAGCCAAAACCGCAGCCTGTAGTTGAAAAGAAACAATCGGATACCCGGATGACGAGTCGTGAGACGAGCCCCAGTGGGGATAAGAAGAAAAAGGTGCCTCACCCCCTGGTGATCCCCGATGAGATCCATTCCCGTTTTGGCGACCCGAGCACCCTCCATTCCGAGACTAACATCACCACCACTGTCACGGCACGCGACGGCAGCGCTGAGGTGAGTACGGGGGAACATATAGTGGGATCTTGGGCTTAGACTTGGCTTAGGCTTGGCTTAGGCTTGGCTTAGGCTTGGCTTAGGCTTGGCTTAGGCTTGGCTTAGGCTTGGCTTAGGCTTGGCTTAGGCTTGGCTTAGGCTTGGCTTAGGCTTGGCTTAGGCTTGGCTTAGGCTTGGCTTAGGCTTGGCTTAGGCTTGGCTTAGGCTTGGCTTAGGCTTGGCTTAGGCTTGGCTTAGGCTTGGCTTAGGCATTTTAGGGCTTGGCTTAGGCTTGGCTTAGGCTTGGCTTAGGCTTGGCTTAGGCTTGGCTTAGGCTTGGCTTAGGCTTGGCTTAGGGTTGGCTTAGGCTTGGCTTAGGCTTGGCTTAGGCTTGGCTTAGGCTTGGCTTAGGCTTGGGCTTAGGCTTGGCTTAGGCTTGGCTTAGGCTTGGCTTAGGCTTGGCTTAGGCTTGGCTTAGGCTTGGCTTAGACTTGGCTTAGACTTGGCTTAGGCTTGGCTTAGGCTTGGCTTAGGCTTGGCTTAGGCTTGGCTTAGGCTTGGCTTAGGCTTGGCTTAGGCTTGGCTTAGGCTTGGCTTAGGCTTGGCTTAGGCTTGGCTTAGGCTTGGCTTAGGCTTGGCTTAGGCTTGGCTTGGGCTTGGCTTAGGCTTGGCTTAGGCTTGGCTTAGGCTTGGCTTAGGCTTGGCTTAGGCTTGGCTTAGGCTTGGCTTAGGCTTGGCTTAGGCTTGGCTTAGGCTTGGCTTAGGCTTGGCTTAGGCTTGGCTCAGGCTTGGCTTAGGCTTGGCTTAGGCTTCGGCTTAGGCTTGGGTTTGTGCTTAGGCTTAGGCTTGGGTTTGTGCTTAGGCTTGGCTTTGGGCTTAGGATTGGCTTTGGAAATAGGCTTAGGCTAGGGCTAGGCTTAGCTTAGGTCCTTAAGTACCACACCACTATAATCGGCTTCATTTTGTCGCAATATCACTTTGTCGAAATATTATTCCATCATCTCATTTTTCGACTTTGAATTTTGTTGAAATAGAATAAGTCAGGGGCCCATTTAGTCTTACATAGCTAAAAGTTTCTTTTCACACCTTCAAAACTTCATGGGTTTTTGATTTATTTGATGAAAAAAGAATTTAGAAAAACGAGCCGTGGAAAATTGACAAATTATGTTTCAACCACCTAGGGGGTATCGGGAGAAGCTGACAGTCTAATGGAGCTCTTTAATGGTCAGGATTTCGCTACAAAAATAATTTTTGTCGGCATTTGATTTTGTCAAAATCTTAATGATTTAATGAATTTGGCACACGATTTATCGGATTTCAGAATTTTCCCGGCACCTGAGGAGTGAATGAAACATGATTTTCATTTTTTCATGAGTTCCAGGCTTTTCAGCTCTAGTAAAACTTCTAAAAAATTCGCCTTCGATTTTGATGGAATCGTTCTACGCGAAGCAAACAGTACCCGTGAAAAAATATGTTTAAGGACTCTTGAGGGCGCTACGAAAAGACTGTAGTGACGCTTTAAAAAGTTTTAGCTCGATTTAGCAACATTAAACCCAATTTTTTCAGACCTTCTTTACTTTTGGGAGCCGCTCCTTTTTTTGGGCTTATTGTTAGGCTAAAATTTCGAAATTCCTTTAAAAAGTAGTATTTAGGTGTAACCGCTATCCGCGCTGTAATAAATGGCTTGCTTTTTCTAACACACCTAGGAGGATCGAAACATTGCATTTTTTAGTTATCTAATTACGTAGGAGAGGAAATGCGATGGAAGGCCTGAAAGGTCTATTAGTCTGCCAGCTTTTCGCGCCACAACCAGAGTAGTTAAAAGGCCGTCCGCCAGTCACTCGAACTGTTCCCATTATGGCTTGGCACAGTTTTTTTCGACCCTATTTTTATGATGCCATCTGAAAGAGCGTGGCCGAATTAGTAGGGTGGCATAGTTTTGAAAGTTTAAAAAGTTGATTTTTGGGGTTTAAATGGCCGTTAAAGTTGCCGACATCGAAAATCTATCTCGAAAATTACTGGACCAAATTTGCTGAAAACTTGTGACAATACCTAATTTGGGATGGAGATCATTTCTCTAATACATTGCAAAACTTGAAAATGGCCGGAACATAGGAATCTCGCGTACTAAAAACAGTTTTTTACGATTTTCTATTTAATGGGAAATCGGCGGCATCCTGAAAGTAGCATAGAAAGATGCACCAATTTTTTTTACATCGTATGATGTGTCTTTTAGGATGCCGCCGTTTTCCCATCATCTATAAAAGTCGTGATCTCTGGAATCAACAAAAGTGGCCTTAAAAGATCGGGGGCTGCGAATGAGAAATATAAAGGATTGCGGAAAGCATCTAGAGATCAATGCCACCCATTATCAAAAAAGAGCAAAATTAAATTCCTCATCTACGAAGTTGAGTACGGAGGGGAATCGAACCCGCGATGGTCCGCCTGGGGCGCTCTGGGGAAAGAGGCTAGAGGGCGCCGCCACCTCCCAGGCGAACGACCCGAGTTCAATCCCAGCCCCCTTTTAGAAACCGAATTTCTTTTTGCTCTTTTTTGCAATTAACTTGACTGCGCTTCTAGAGGCAAGCGGGTGACTCCCCGTTTGAAAATCTGGAAATTTTTCTTTTTATCATTAAGAAAATGCCGTTTTTACAGATGATGGGAAAACGGCGGCATCCTAAAAGACACATAATACGATGTAAAAAAAATTGGCGCATCTTTCTATGCTACTTCCAAGATGCCGCCGATTTCCCATTAAATAGAAAATCTTAAAAAACTGTTTTTAGTACGCGAGATTCCTATGTTCCGGCCATTTTCAAGTTGTGAAATGTATTAGAGAAATGATCTCCATCCCAAATTAGGTATTGTCACAAGTTTTCAGCAAATTTGGTCCAGTAATTTTCGAGATAGATTTTCGATGTCGGCAACTTTAACGGCCCTTTAAACCCCAAAAATCAACTTTTTAAACTTTCAAAACTATATGGCCCCACTAATTCGATCATGCTCTATCCGATGGCTTCAAAAAAACAGGGTCGGAAAAAAAACTGTGCCAAGCCTATTTCGGTCCTGCCGCAAACGGCCTTTTAAAACATATTTTTAGAGGCTTTTGAAACCCTTGTTTTTGTAGTTGGTAATTTTATGGACATTCCGTAACTTTAATCAGTACGAATACAAGAACAATCACATTAAGGTGTTTTAAAAAGCCATAAAAATATCATATATCGTGTGTCTAAACCACCCATGGTTTTCCGCCAAAAACCCGACCACCACCATAACGATCACGTTTTACCCTGAAATTTGAAAATCTCCCGAGCAAAAACCACCTAAAATAATCGAGGTGTGCGTGCGATTTTTCCCTACTAGACAAAAATGAAGCACCTAGAAATCGCTTTTTCAAAACGAAGAAAAGCTGTTAAAAAAGTTTTATTTGACAACTGCTAAGATGTCGGATTATTCGAGGAAAACTTTGGCCGCCATCACTAACCACTAAAACACATCTTTTGAAAATATACTTTTTTAGGTGCTCTCCCCGGTGAAGCAGCCGCAGTCGGCGAGCATCGTGAAGACGGTCCGCTCGCGCACTTCTACGCCCGTAGAAGGCGCTGAATTCACGCTGGAGCAGCCGGCGCAGGCCGGCCAAGCCGCTACGCAAGACGCTGAAGCCGAAGCGAAGGTGACCAGGAAGTCGAGGAGGGACGGGCTGCCGCCATTGCCCAGTGAAGCCGACAAAGCCAAGTCGAAGGCTGATGCTGAGGAGGCTGAAGCTAAGAAAGTGGCTGAGGAACGAGCTGAAGCTGATCAGGCTCTGGCGGAGAAGTCCAAGCAGGACGAGGCCAAGACAAAGAAGACGAAGAAGACTGAGGCCGAGAAGATCAAGGAGGACGAGGCCAAGGCCAAGGAGGAGCCTGAGAAAGCTAAGCAAGAAGCTGACGAAGTTAAGGCCAAGAAGACGAAGAAGGTTGAGGCCGACAAGTCCAAGGAGGACGAAGCTGCTGCTCAAAAAGCTAAAGCCAAGAAATCCGAAGCCGACGAAGCCAAGGCGAAGCAAGAAGCCGAAGCTAAAGCTAAGAAATCCGAGGCCGACAAGGCCAAGGAGGATGAGGCTAAGGCTAAGAAATCCGAAGCTGATGAAGCCGCGAAGAAGAAGGAAGCCGAGAAGGCCAAGGACGACGAAGCTGCGGCTCAAAAAGCCAAGGCTAAGAAATCCGAAGCCGACGAACCCAAGTCGGAAGCTGAACAAGCTGCCGAGACCAAGACCGACGAGAAGAAAAAGAAGAAGGTGACCAAGCGCAAGGACTCGGCCGCCAAGTCTGTCAGCGAAGCCGAGGCCAAGTCGATCCAGGAGGAGAGGGCTGAAGCCGAGGCTAAGCTGGCTGAGAAGGCGAAAGAGGACGAAGCCCAGGCTCAAAAAGCCAAGGCCAAGAAATCCGAAGCCGACGATGCCGCCAAGGCCGAGGCTGAACAAGCCAAGGCGAAGAAGACCGAAGCCGAAGCTGAACAAGCCGAAGACGGCAAGGCTGAAGAAGATCAAGACAAGAAGAAAAAGAAGAAGAAGGTCACCAAGAAGTCCGAGTCTCAGGTTGGCCTTGACGAGGCCAGCGAGGCTTCTGAAGCTGCACAACAAGCCCAAGAAGCCGAGGCTGTAGCTGAACAAGCCGAGCCCGAGAAGAAGCTGAAAAAGAAGAAGAAGGCCGCCGAGAAGTCGGATGAGACGGCATCTGAAATCTCTGAGATTCCAGAGGCCGAAGAAGCTGATCTCAGCGAGGCCGACAAGGTCAAGGAGGTCAAGGAGCCCGAGCTCGACGACAGTCTAACTCGCCGAAGAGGTTCCGCCGGATCTACGGATTCTTCAGGGCGACGCAGGAAGAAGCGCGAGGGCTTCGTCTCCGTACCTGACCCCAGGCTCATCGGGTTCCGCGGAGACTCAGTTAAATTTGAGTGCGAGCTGGCGAATGAGGAGGACGAGGTCGAATGGTTGATCAACGGCAAGCCCGCTTCAGAGGAGCCCAGGGCGAAAATCGTGAAGAAGGGCATCTTCCAGAGCCTCGTGCTCGAATCTGTTGCTCCCAAGGACCACGGTCTGATCATCGCCGGCCAGCTCCCGAGCGCCATCTTCGAGTCAAAGCTCGTCGTCGAGGACACGCCGGTGATCATCGAGTCCAAGCTGGCCCGAAAATCCATCTGCAAGGCCGGAGAGGCCTACACGATCAAGGTCAAGCTCAACCACGGCACGAAGAACATCCGGTGGACCCGCGACAACGAGGTGCTCAGCGCCGACGGGGAGTACGAGATCTACTACGACCCGGAGGACGAGTACGTGTCGCTCACCATCAAGAACCCGAGCTACAAGCATGCCGGGAGGTACGTGCTCCAAGCCGGTGAGGCTGAGGTTTTCACAAACCTCGAGGTGCAGGGAGCACCAGTTTTCCCGGAGGAGGGAAGAGCCGTTGAGATTGAGGCTAATGATAACCTAGTGCTCAATCTCATCTACAAAGGAGATCCAGAGCCCACCGCGGAGGTCGTGCTCAATGGAAAACCGTTGCCAAAGGAGGCCAAGGTCGAGCTCGGGGTTGTTGGGAATACAGTAAGATTCTCGAAACGCCATGCTAGTAAGGAAGATGCTGGTGACTACACCTTCACGCTCAAGAACGAGTTCGGCGAGGTATCTACCACCGTTAAGGTCAAGGTATCGGACGTACCTTATGCTCCCGAGAATCTACAAGCAACCGGAGGCTCAGCCACCTCAGTCATGCTCAGGTGGGAGGCCCCGGAGGACAACGGTGGTGCTCAAATCTCCGGCTACGTCGTCGAGAAGAAGGAGTCCGGCCGTCGAGCGTTCCACCCTGTCGCTCAAACCTCAGGCTCCAGAAACAACTTCGAGGTCGAGGAGCTTGAGCCCGAGACGGAGTACATCTTCCGGGTGGCGGCGGTGAACAAGTTTGGTACCGGCGAGTTCGCGGAGACGGGCACGGTATCGACATCCACAGCTTTTGAAGCCCCTACCGTCTCTGAGGCTCCTAGGATTGAGTCTCAGAGTTCAGACTCAGTCACGTTGACTTGGTCGGAGCCTAGCCGCACCGGCGGATCGCCCATCTACGCCTACGACGTCTTCGTCAAGGAGGCCGGCAAGGAGTGGCAGAAGGCCAACGACGAAGCCTGCTTCGCCAAGAGCTTCACCGTGCCGAACCTCAAGTCCGGCGTCGGCTACAAGTTCAAGGTGGAGGCCATCAACGAGGCGGGGCTGACCTCCGACTCCAACAAGTCCACCGACACTGTGCAACTCCAAGGGAAACCCACCCAAAAACTGCAGATACCGAGGATCTTTATCACGGACGTCGATGCTGTAGATGTTCACTGGGACTCGCCGTCCGACTCGGACTCTACCGGGTATACGGTGGCGTACAAGTCGGAGTCGTCGTCGGTGTGGGCTGAGGTGGAGGTTCCGCGAAGCCCCGCCCACATCACCGACCTGAAGGAGGGCATCGCGTACGTGTTCCGAGTTGCACCACGGAACGCCAATGGTACTGGAGAGTTCTCGGAGGCTAGTGCTCCGGTTAAGGTATGTTTTTTCATTTGTCCATTTTTTCTTTTTTCTGGGGTAGTCGGCTTTATTTAAAAAATTTATTAGTCACTAATTTACTAAATTTACAAAGATTTAAGAGTTTTGAATTATTCGCGTCCTAAAAATCAGTTCAAAATTCGATATGTCGGACAACCATGATGATGGAATTAATCGGCGAAAAAACCTATAAAACTCCAAGTTTTTCCGAAACATATTTTTGCTTCAAAATTTTTTTTTGAAATTTCTTGCGTTACTTTAAACACTACAATGAATTGCGTTAAATATTACTGCAATTTTAACAAATCAATTGTTTATAAAAACAATCCAATAGCCAAACCTTTTTTTTCTATACGATTTTCGATGGAAGAATGCGTTCGTATGAAACCTCAAAAGTCACAATTTTTTTGAAACATCTATTTTTAATAGCAATATTGAATCTTGATAAATGCTGATGCGTGTAGTCTGCGGCGATTCAACTGATGTAAAGTATTAGGACATGAAAATGACATTGAAAAATTAATACGGTAGCCGTTTCGCCAACGAAAGAATTAGCAAGTGCAAAAATTCTAAAACAACGAGTGTTTTCGAAACATCTTTCTACGTGTTAACTTTTATTTTGTTGAAGTTTATGGAGATTTTATTTTGCTAAATAAGCCAGGCTCAAAAATATCAGTTGAAAATTCGACATATTTATTACTACAGTCTACCGAACGATTGGGCGCAAAAATCCTGAAACTCGCACTTTTTTCGAAACATTTCTTTTAAGGCAAAGATGTTTTGGCGACAAAATTATGAACGTACGTTTCAATCACAATTAAAGGCCAAGTACAAAGTCTGTAGAAGTAGCCATGGAAGGATTCAGATACTTAAATTAGTCAGTTTTGAAAAAGTTAATGAAAAATTAAGGTATCAGTCATCTTGAGAAAAAGTGCTGCAAATTAGTGCGTAAAAAAAATCCTGAAATCCCTTTTTTTCGAAACATCTTCTTACCGAAAGAGTTTAGGAATTTAGGATTGTAATCTCACAATGACCGAAATCGTTAAATATGAAATAAAATTATTTATTAAATTATTTGCGTTTAAAAATAAATTCCAGCTAACAAATTAGGGTAAAACCATTTCAGATCGTTCAAACAATAACCTGTGCAAAAATCCTAAACTGTATGTTTTAAAAACATCTTTTTTTTCAGAAAAATCTTTTAAAATATTTTGGTGCTATGGGCCATTCAAAATCGTACAATAGGGTTTGCACCCCCAATTTCTCCCATTTAATCTTAGACTCCCAATGTCTCCAAAACATCTTTTTCAGGAAAATCTGAAAACATTTTTCGTCGAATTTTAACTTTATTGATTAATCAATCTTAATTTTGATGTTCATTTTTATAAATAAACAAAATATATTTTTAGGTGGCCCTCGAAGCCGCGCCGCAAATCATCAAGGCGCTGAAGGACGTGAACATCCCGAAGAAGGGCGATTTGCATCTGGAGTGCCACGCCTCGGGAGAACCAGCCCCGGAATACATTTGGTACAAAGATGATGAGGAATTTGTGCCGGCAGATGATCGAACCGAGATCCTCTGCGAGGGCCACATGTCGGCGCTGAAGATCCACAAGACCAAGGAGTCCGATGCTGGCAAATATACATGCCAGGTGAGCTTAAAAGAAATTTTATCGCAACGCGAGAAAAAATTCCATTACAGATACTTATTTCCAGCTTATTAAATACTAATTAAAACATGCAAAATGCCGAAAATCGATAATATCTAGCATTTAAAAATAAAACAAAAGATAAAACTATTCTGGATGTCATTAAAATCCATTAAAATTAATTTCAAATCCATCAAATTAAAATTCAAATTCATTAAAAAATTTTCTATTCGCCAAAAACATTTTTGAATTTTTAGAAATCGTCATTTTTATAGTTTACTTTTTAACGGTTTTTTCTAATTTAACGTTGCTTGTCAGGTCAATAGAGTATTTTGAAAATCCAAAATGCCATTGTTAATAAGTATTTTCAAATGCTATCACTGTTAATTGAAACATACAAAATCTTGTAAATAGCTTTCACCAAAAAGCCTAGCCAAATTATTAGCACGTTTTTTTTAAATGCTATTAGATATTAACTGAAACCTGCAAAATGTAGAAAAATCGAAAACTTTTAAAGTTGTTTGCGCAGATCGTAAAATAGGTTATCCAAAAAGCTAAAGGGAAGTTATTATGAATAAGTTTTATAAAATGTTGTTATATTTTCAATGAAACATGCAAAATTCCGAAAAAGGTTAAATATTTGAAACGACCCTTGAGTTAGTGAGTGACTTAAATAAACAGGCTCTTCTATATTAATTGAAACATTTCTCCATTTTCGCTGAATCGTTTTTTTTATTTGTAAAATTGCGTTTTTGTAAATTAGCTTTTTAAAACGTTGCGAAATTTAACGTTGAGTGCCAGGCGAGCTTAAAAATAGATTACATAACGGCGTCGAAAGGACGTCCATTATTGAAATACATCTTAAAAGAGGTTAAATGTCAATTGAAACATTTAATTAGTCCATCTAAAAATCTAAAGATGTGCTTTAAAAAAGAAAACGTGCTATAATTCTTCGCTCTAACATTCTCCAATCATAATATGTATTTGAGAATTTGTGAGAATCAAAACTGAGGTAATTTGTGGTATCTGGTACACCGATGGTTATTACATTTCTAACATGAGAAAGCCTTTGTACATTACTTGAAACATATAACTTTCGGAAGAAAAGCCCAAATTTTGAATTTTTTTTAAATTCTTGACTTCCCAGATGGTTTACAATTCATAAAAAATGTAAAAGTTTAAAGAATATAAGATCGGATTCGTTTCTGCAAGTCGACCCTGCAGCGTCGAAATCAAAAACGCAAATTTTTTTTGGGATAAATTGTTTCAAAATTGTTCCGGGCAGCTACGCATTTTGCTTCGATAATCGGAATGATGCGGATTCTCTCTCATAATCCCGACAGCTTAAGTCCCGACAATAAAATGCCGACAGCAAAAATCCAGACACATTTTTCACGTTAATTTGGACGCCCACTCCTTTTCAATAGCAATTCTTTCTCGCAAAGCTACAATTTTGCTTTCAATCTCGCCTGTCGGGATTTCGTTCTGTCGGGATTTTAGCCTGTCGGGATTTTGACTTTCGGGAATTTTGTTGTCGGCATTTCGACGTTTTTCCGAAAATCGCGAAATGGCAAAAGCAAACTTCCAAAACTTGGCGAAGTCCAAGAGAAGTTAAATATTTACTTTATGAACCTGACGACTGTAGGTATTAGCTGGTTTCATCGGCAAATCCATTATTTATTTTGCGAAACATTTCTTTGCAAAAGATTTCGTAAATTGGCAAATTTAATAGGCAATTAAAGTTTCGACAATTTTTGTAAAAACATTACACATTCCATATTACATTTCCGATTTTTAGGTGGCCAACTCGAGCGGAAAAACCGAATCCACATCTCGGGTGACGATCGGTGACGTGAGGGCCCACTTTGAGCGCTCATTCTCCGAGGAGACGATCGTCGAAGAGGGAGCGGACATTGTACTGTCGTGTACGCTGTCCGACGCTGATGCTCAGGTCAACTGGTTCAAGGGTAAGTAATTCTGGAAATTAATTGAGGTAATGATAGAAATGCGTAGCGTACAGACGCAAACGTAGCTCTACGTACTTAAAAAAACCTACACGCGTAGAAAGCGTATGTACGCAAAAATGTCGAAGATAAACTGGCGTAAATGGCGTAAAATCATCCATCCTGGATTGTCCCGATGCTTATTCTGCCCTAGCCTAATTTTTACGAAACACCTTATACCAATTTCCTTAATTTCACCAATCCTTAATTTTAATTAAATTTTTTAATCTAATAGTCATAAATTTAAATAAGTCCGCTTGTCAAAAATGCACTCAAAGTTTAAATTCTCCTGCTTAACAATACATCTTTTAATGAAAGTACCTCCTTAAAAAATTGGAAAATTAATGGATGAAATTTTCGGCCCAAAACCTGCCTCGAATCACAGATCTTAAATCAAATTAATTTAAAGTTATTTTGAAATTCAATTAATGTTAAATGAAAACCAACTAGTTCGCAATTTGATTTACAACAACTCCTAAATAACTGTCGAAATTTTGGAATTAAACGCCGAAAAATAAATTGTTTGACTGAAAATACCATCCAAAAATATTTTTGCAGGATTAATATCACATCAGTTGAAAAATAATATATATAAAAAAAACGAGATTCGCCGTCCCTTTAAAAATGAACCGCGCATCTAAATTTATTTTTTAAACTCGTAATGAAAAATCCACAAAATTTTAAAATTGAGATTTTCGGAAACGCTTAAAAACAAATTGTTTCACTGAAAATACATTTCTAAAAATTGCTAGGATTATAACTCCATTTTGTTTTCAATAACGAAATATTAAACTTCACATTTTAAAAAAGTAATGAAACTATAAGAATTATTTTAAAAAAGAATTTTTGCTTGCCAATTCTCAAAAAAAAAAACAATCTGTTTCAACCAAATTACCTTTTGACCGCCGTGCGAAAAATGCGATTCCATGACACAGTGATTGACTTACTAATTTCCATAAAAACCGCCCTTACCCGCCCCTTTATAGATGGCCGTCGCCTCGCCGTCTCCGAACGCATTCAAATCGAGCAGCGCGGTGCGGATCGTACACTCACCGTCAAGAAGGCCACCCTCCAGGACGCTGGCCATTACAGGTATTTTTAACTAATTTTCCTCTTTTTACTCTTTTAGCCCATTGGTACCCCCAAAAATTTCCGCACTATAAAATTTTTTAAACATATTTTTCCTCGATTTTTATATTTGAAAACATATTGTAAATTCCGAACGCTGAAGGTTACAAATTAAACGCTAAGCACCGACCATCAGTAACAACAACTATTTCCCTACTTTACATTGCTATAAAACATATTTTTTTCTCCATATTTTCTCAGTTCGGAGGTATTTTACTGGTTTCATTAAACTGATTTTCGTCACAAATGCTGGACATCAGATTTTTAAAGTCGGGAACATCAGCCAACCCTCGCAGGACTAGCAATACCAAAAATGCGCTAGCTATAAAATTTTTTGAAGCAGGTTTTTGCAAAAAAATCCTGAATTTTAAGAAGGTTCTGAAACTTTGCTATTTTTGGCAAATTTCTGCCATAAGCTTTTGACAATGCATTAATAGGCTTTCCGGATGCAGATTTTGTATCAGGATATTTGAAAACGCTTTTTTTGCATAGAACTGAACGGTTTTTATGCCAAGAATCCTTGCCGAGCTTGTGCTTGTTTTCCGTACTACAAATTGGGATGAAACACACATGTTGTTTTAGGGCGGAAAAACGGCTTTATTTTGGTGTATGAATATTATTAAAATACTTGCTACCATAATACTTCTACCGTAGACGTGAAAATAGATTAGTAGCAATAATAGAGAATATAGATATTTAATGTGGATTCCGGAATGTTCAATCATTTGTCATCGCGCTCAAGATTAAGTGCCTTAATTTTTGCGTAACCAGAATTTCGGACGAAACATTTTTACAAATTGGCTGGATTATTAGTAAGATTTATAGTTTCTGTTTGTCCAAAATGAATATTAGTTTTCAAACTGAAAAAAATACTAGAAAATTGTCATGGTGACAATTTTTCAACTTCATGATTTCTACAAGTACCTTCTTGGAAATTAACAAGGTTCCATTTTTTTTTCCCCCCCGCGGGAAAAAAAAAAAAATTTTAAAGGGAGGGGGATATTTATTTTTTTTTTTTTGGTGTTTTTTCCGTTTTTTTTTTTTTTTGTGTGTTATAAATTTTTTTTAAAGGGGAGGAGGTTTTGGAGGTTTTTGAAAATGTAGTACGTTAGCTGATGCAGTGCGCCGAAAAAAGTGGCATTGATCATCTCGGTTTTTGCGCGACACTAGCTATGGTAGAAACATTTTTTAATTAATTGATAATTTAATTAATTTTGGTTTTGTGGCAATGTTTAGGTCTAGATTCTTTTAGACGCAGTAAATTGTCCAAACCGCTTATGCATGGAAAAATTAGCAACAATTTCCATTCAGCCAGGCAGTATTAACCTCTCGAATTTTCATTTTTTACTATTGAGGCCAAGAAACATATTTTTTACGCAACCGAATGCAAATTTTCAGATCTGTATCAAAAACTACTAAACAATTAAATTGTATCTAAAGCATCGAAAAATTGTATTTTCAGGTGTGAAACAACAGACGAGCGTAGCCGTGCCGAGGGCGCGGTTACGGTAAAGGAAGAGGAGGCCCACATCCAGATCGGCCCTCAGGACCAGGAGATCCAAAACTTTGGCGAGACCGTGACGCTGGCCTGTCAATTGACGAAGCCCATCCGCCGCGCCAAGTGGTTTAAGAACGGCCAGGAAGTGTGGCCGCAGTTGAATAAGGTAAGCTAGCAATATAGCTTCATAAAGACACCTTAAGATTAGCTTGAAAAATATGCTCGAATAACTTTTGAGATCGTGGCATTATCGCTCTTCGATTGTCCCTTTTTGTAAGGTTTTATACAACATATTTTTTTCACTCTTTGCATTAGAAATTTCAATCCATTTTTGAGAGAATTAAAAAAATTGTACCAAATCGACAATCGCGCTTTTATTAATACTAAAATTTATTGTGCCTTGCTAAGCTTTGTTAAAACAACTACAACAACGCCATTTTGAAGCTTTCAAAAATTCATGAAATCTTGATGTTTCCATCTGGAAAAGGGGTCTGTCGTAATTTGAATCAAATTCAAATTGCTATTTTTAATATTTTTTCGTCATTGTATCAGTTATATAATTGTCCTCAAATTTATTAATATGGTAAGGGCATATTGTTCCAGTAGTAATCTGGATTCTGCCTAAGAAAAGATGTTGCAGTAAAACCGGTACCCATTTAGAGATCAGCTTCCTTAATACGGGTGTTGAGTAACTGGAACCTTTTTTATTTGTATTGAGTAGTGAAGTGAAATAAATTAAACTGGAGTAAAAATTGCTTAACCATAATAATATATCAAACATATAAAAAATAAATAGCAACAATACAATCCCGAAAAATCATTAAAATTTTCGCAATGTAGTGCTAGTGATAGCAGACACACTATGAAAAGCAGTGACGAAATTAAGGCAACAGGTGATTGAAAAACATTAAATCTTTAAAATTCTTGTTTTAATATAGCATACACTGAAACATTTCGACTTCAAAACTGACTAATAATTATATAAATTTCCAATTATACAAAATAGATGATATATTGAATCGGCTTGTTTTTCAGGTTCACATGGCCGTCGAAGAGCGCACGGCCACGCTGCAGATCCGCAACTTTGACAAGCATGACGTCGGCGAGTACACGGTATCGATTTCCGACACCGAGAAGAGCGCCCCGGCCACTGTAACCCTGAATGTGCGGCCGATTATCACACTCCCGGAAGCCCTCGACCGTCCAGAGGTGCAGGCCGTAGCCGGAAAGGAGTTCGACTTTGCCGCTGAGTTTGCTGGAAGCCCCGAGCCCACGATTAAGGTCAGCGATTTTTGGTTTAAATCTGAATTTAATTTAACGTAATTTTTAATTTATAATTTGATTTGAAAGGAATTTAGCAATTTAAAAAATTTTAATTTTAAAGCAATTTAGCAATACATTTAGCAAATTTACCACACTGGAATTATTCTTAATACGATTTTTTAAAGCAGAGACTTGAAGAAACACTCTTTTTAAAAAGCCGTAAAATTCATAGTATTGCCTTCACCGGCCCTTGAAAAGATTTCTGAATTGCTTTGAATAAACAAAACTGAGGATATCGAAACAAAATCGAAATAGATAGGCAGAAGAATTACCCAGAATTACATTTTTTTCAGACCCCACATTTTGAAAACACATTTTCCTACGGCAATAATTTTCGGGATTTTCAGGGATTTCAGGGAATTGTAATTTAGGGCGGTTTTAATTGCGACAAAGCATAAATACATCTATATTTTTAAGTTGCTATTTTTTGGAGCCAGTTTTAAGAGCAGGTATTGCACCTAAAAAAACTGGCCTAGAAGACAACGGTGGATTGCGGTTGCGAAAATAAACGATTCTTTGATATTTTCTGAAACATTTCTTTTGTCTCATTTGAGCGTAAAAGTCATACCTCCCGCCCACAGTTCGAAAAGTGAACAAAGGTTGTTTCAAAAAATCAAGTGATAGGGGACAGCTGGGGGCATCATAATCTTTGTTCATTAGACGTTTGCCCTGGCGCAATGAATTATTATAAGCGTTGAAATCCATGTCTGAGGGCACTACTGGCTCTCTCTCGCTATCTCTCTCCCTTGTTTTAAAATGCTTTGCATTTCACAGTATTACTTCTGGATAGTTAAGCAATTAATATAATTAAATTTTTAATGAAATGACGATTGGCCGGCCCTGGGCGCTTCAATTTACTATGTTTCAACAATATTATCGGCAAAAGTCGGGGGACGGCACGCCACTCAAACTGCGCACTTGCAATCGATGTTTTGTATGATATCTAAAGCCATAAAATCCATAACCAAACAATCGATCACAAGAACGGAATAATTAAAATCCTGACGGAATTTGAGGTCAAAAGTTTGATGAAACATGCTTCTTCAAATTTAAATGACAAAACGTTAGCCTTGCCCGGTTAAGGGATTTTTAAAGAGCATTAATAGACCGTTTCCATTCCTAAAGATATTTAAAAGATTTTGGTATAGATTAATAGAAAAGTATAGAATTTTATAGAATTAAAAATAATAATGGAATACAAACATAGAATCAAATTTTGTAAAACATATACGCAGTAAAGGTTAAATAAAAGGAACCGTACCTCATGACCAATACCGGATGTATTACAATTATTAGGTCATCAACATTTTTGCATCTAAAAATAATATAAAACATAATTTTATAAAATTCATAAGACAAATAGATTTTTATAAGGTTGATCCCATTTAAGGTAGGCTAAAATGGCAATAATCTGAGATAGTACTCTGTCTCTAAAATATATAAAAACTCATAAAAATACATTTTTCATTTTTTAAAAATTGCAGAAAATACAAAATGTTATAAAAATTTCTAAAATTAAATTTTACAAACAAAACCTATAAAACCATAATTTTCTCCATTTAAGGTATACCACAACGGGCAGCCCATCTCCCTCTCCGGGGCCGAGGTCGACAAGTACGAGGATACCGTATCGATTCGGATGAAGCACCTAAAACGCGCCGATTCCGGAGAGATCCGCATCGTGGCCAGCAACGAGTTCGGCGAGACGACGAAGACGATCAATTTGAACGTCATCGACGCGCCGTCGGCCCCGTTGAATTTGGTCGCTTTCCACACGACTACAAACTCCACATGCCTGTCGTGGGAGGCCCCAGAACACTCGAATGGAGCCCCGATCACCGGATATGTCATCGAGCGGCGACAGGTAATTTGGAGCTTGTGCATTATCGGGGGGGGGGGGGGGGGGCGCTTTTGAAATCTCAGAATTGAAAGTGTCGAAATCTATAATGCCGAAAATCATAATGTCGAAATTTCATAATCTCCAAAATCATGATTTGGAAATTCAAATGTCGACATTTTTTTGCATAGAATTTTTGTTTTATTTATTTTTAATTAAATTTAAATTTTTTAAGAAGGTGAATACGCAAAAGCTATATAAATTTTTCATTAAAAACACAAAAAATCTATTTTTTTACCAAAGATTTAAATCTTGAATTTTTACACGTTTTTGGATTGTTTTTGCCACCGAAAATCGCTAAATTTGAATAAAACGATTATCGTGATATTTACTGTCAGATTATCAGCACTTCCAGATTTAACAAACGTAATCTAAAAATACGTTTGTTTAAAAATGGGGTTTTCAGTTTTACTATAATTATACAACAAAAAGGTCGACTTATAAATTTTAGTATGTTAATAAATGAAATCGTCACCACATTGGGCTACCGATAAAGTGCCTACAAAATCGCAAATTGTGAAAAAATGTTTCAAAAATATCCAAAAGAGTGTGTTTTTTAACCAAGCTAGTGAAGCACAAACACCGGATCCGATTCACAAAAAATGTGCGCAGGTTGAACAGGTTAGCTTCAGACGGAAAAAAGAGTTTCACTGAAATTACGCGGTCGCGGCCAGGGTCCCATCGTTTGCAGATCATTCGCAAAGTTAAAAAAACATGTTTCACAAAAAGAAACTAGTTGCGATGTCTTTGTAATAGTTAATGCTAGGACCGTCATAGAAAAATGCAAAATGTTATTTTTGAAAAAAGTGTTAGATTAGAGTCGTTGAAGCAGTTTATTAACGCAGTTAAACGTAAAATTTAAGGTTTTTAAAACGGGCTTGGCGACTATTACGTTTTAGAAAGTCCAATTAGGAATTTTATCATTTTGTTGTGACTAGAATAAATTAACAGATCCCCACCGGGTTTCCATATTTTTTTGAAACACTTCCAAAAAAATCATGTTTTGTCATCAGTGGCAGTAAAAAAAACAATTGGACAACAATTCGGCGAAGGCATATAAGCAAAAATTTTTTGAATATTTCGCGTTTTGGTCGAGAAATCTCGAGATCTTTTTTTTATATTCGTTAATCCAAATTCTGACGTTTTAACGTTTAGAAATAGTGGAAATCAGCTTAAAAAAGCTCACTTTTTAAAGAATTAAAATTGTATTAAAATTATATTATTATATTATATTAAGTTATATTAAAACTGATGTATCCCAAAGAAAAAAGTCCGCTCCCTCCCCCGATAATGTGGAAGTACCAAGTATAACACTTTTCCAGGTGGAGCACGACCGTTGGAGGAACGTCGGCCGCGCTCGGCCTCACCATCTGACGTTCGAGGATCTCGACCTGTTCTCCAACGAGTTGTACACGTATCGTGTACTTGCTGTAAACGACGTCGGCACTGGGCAGCCATCGAAACATCTCGATGTCTATTCACTTGACGATGAGGCGGAGGAAGAAGGAGATGAGAGAGATACTGTAGTTGCTCCCACCCAAGAACTTGGCACTCCAAATGCACCATATGTTGAAGTCGATGGCGCCAAGGTAAGCTAGCAGAAAAAATTTAGGATTTGAGCTTGAGCATCTTAGCAGAGATCATTTGGGATGGGAGAGAGGGGGAGGGGCAGGCTAGCAGAGATCATTTGGGATGAGAGAGAGGGGAAGGGGGCAGGCTAGCAGAGATCATTTGGGATGAGAGAGAGGGGGAGGGGGCAGGCTAGCAGAGATCATTTGGGATGAGAGAGAGGGGGAGGGGGCAGGCTAGCAGAAATCATTTGGGATGGGAGAGAGGGGGAGGGGCAGGCTAGCAGAGATCATTTGGGATCCGGAGGGCCTATTTTTGGATCTTCCCGATTCTTAAAAGTGGTGATCATGAACAGAAAGTAAGTACCGAAATAATCGTAAAATCTGCCTAAAAATTAATTAAAACATCATTGTTGGAAAAGACTAACTGCTAATTCAGTTTTTTTAGATCGCTTGATTTTGGCTATTTTATTTCTTGGAAAATTATGAAAATCACAGAAATGTATATTAAACGAAATCGAATCGCTCCTGAAAGTTGGATTTGGATCAACTCGCCAACTTAATAAAAATTTTATTTTTGAATGCAGTAAATGGCCCGATTATATAGATTGGTGCAAAAATGGTCAGACGCCTCCTTGAAACACTCAATTTAATTCTAAGGAAAAAACATGCAAAAGTTATATTCCACCCCTGGTTGAAACCTAAACCCCAAAACCGCTTGATTTTTAATATAGTGTTTCCAAACAGTTTCCAAATTCCAGATTTTTACCCGTTTGTAGAATGGTTGCAGAAGACGGAAAACTTAGTGTAAATGGCTAGAGTGGAGTCAAAGCAGGCTAGAGCTTTCTTGAAACATTATATTTCAAAATCCGCCCCAAAGAAGTTTTTCCCATTTGGCTCCCTTGCTAGTTTTATGAATTTTCACTAATATTAAATCGAAATATTTAAAAAAATTTGAATCAAAGCAAGTGCAGCACCAGTGTCTAAAATGGTGGTAAACTGAGCTAAGGCTTTAGTGAAACATGGTGTTTTAAAAATCTGATTTTCCTTTTTTTCAGGTGCACCTCAGCTGGTCGGCCGTCCCCGCCGCCCAGTTCTACCGTATCGAGCGGAAACCGGCCGGAACCGGAGCTTGGATTGAGCTTGCCACCACGGACCGTCTGAACTACACGGACAGGACAATTTCTGACGATGACGACTTCGTCTACAGAATTGTGGCCCTTGGCGATTCTACCATCTCCCCGCCCAGCAACTCCTCAGTGTCTGTACGCGTTGAAAAAGTTGAAGAAGAGAAGCCAACCTGGTCCGTGAAGCCGGAAGCTGAAGCTGCTCGGGAAGAAGCCGACGACTTCAAGAAAGTCGCGGCTGGAATTGAAGAAGAGGAGTCCGGAAAGAAGAGACGACTCAAGAAGAAGGAGAAGCTGGAAGCTGGAGAAGACCAAGCTTCTGAAGCTGCACAGGCTGAGGAAGCAACTTCCAAGCCATCCGAACTTGTTGAAGTCACCGTCGCTGACGGAGATGCTAAGAAGAAGGCCAAGAAGGTGGTGAAGAAGAAGAAGACCGAGGATATGAGCCTGGCGAGTGAGGAGATTTCCGAAGTTTCTGAAGTTTCCGAAGCTTCGGGAGCTTCTGAAGCTGCTCAAGCCAAGCCTAAGGTTGAAGCTGAGGCTGAGCAAGCCGAGAAGAAGGAGGCCGACTCCAAGAAGGCCGAGAAGGATGACAAGGCCAAGCAAGCCGAAGCCGAAGTCGAAGCCAAGCAAGCCGAGGCCGAAGCTGCTCAAATCCAAGCTCAGGCTCAGGCTCAAGCCCAAGATACCGAAGCCGCCGACGCCGCCAAGGCCAAGAAGAAGGTGGTCAAGAAGAAGAAGAGTGAGGTTGGAAAGGCTGAAGCTCAAGCTGAGGCTCAAGAAGAAGCCAAGGAGGCCGAGGCTAGGCAAGCCGAGGCCAAGTCAGCCAAGCAAGACGCGGAAGCCGACAAGTCCAAGGAGGTCAAGGCAAAGCAAGAAGCCGAGGCCAAGACAAAGGCTGAGGAGAAGAAGAAGGAGGAAGAGAGGGTTCAAGCTCAGGCTCAAGCCGAAGCGAAGAAGGAGGCCGAGAAGCAAGCCAAGGCTGAAGCTGAACAAGCCAAGAAGAAGGAGGAAACTGAAGCTACATCCAAAGCTGAGGAAGCCAAGAAAACCGAAGCAAAGAAGGCTGAGGCCGAGAAGACCAAGAAGGAGACCGAAGCCAAAAAAGCTGACGAAGCTAAGAAAGCCGAAGCCAAGGCCAAGAAGGAGGCCGACGACGCCAAGAAGGTCGAGGAGGAGAAGAAGAAGGCTGAGGCTGAACAAGCCAAGAAGAAGGAGGTCGAAGCCAAGAAAGAGGCCGAGAAGTCCAAGAAGGAGGCCGAAGCCAAGAAAGCCGAGGAAGCCAAGCAAGCCGAAGCCGAACAAGCGGCGAAGAAGAAGGCCGACAAGTCGAAGAAGAAGGACCAGCATGAAGATGAACAATTGACGAAGCAGAAGGAGGCGTTGAAGCCGGTTGACAAGAAGAAGAGGGATTCTCAAGATGAAGCCGGAACCGCTTCGGAAGCTGGCACGGCTGAATCGGTGACTTCTGAAGTGGAATCGAAGGTATCGGAGGAAGGAGATGAAGCCAAGAAGCTGAAGAAGAAGACGAAGAAGGCCGAGTCGGAAGTGTCGCAAGCCGAATCGGGCGAGAAGACGGAAGATGAGGAGAAGAAAAAGAAGAAGAAGGCCAAGAAGCTGGATGCCAAGGTGGGTGGTTTATAATGCATCTATCCATGGGCATTATTATCAAAACAGTATTCCACGTCATCTATATAATAGCTGAAACATTTTTCCAATTTCTCGGCTCGGAAATAACTTTTGGGAAAAACTGCCGCTATCAAATTTTCGGAGCTTTCGCATTATCGGGGGGGGGGGGGTTCGAATTTGTGTATACGTCTGGGCATGCCAGTAAGTATTTGTATAATGCTATCGCCCCATGCTAAACAAAATCCAGCAGAAAAACTCACTAAAATGTTCGAAGTTTTGGTCAAAAACCGTCTAGATTCGATGAAATATCTTTTTTAGTTGATTTTTAACACTCCCGATTCTGAGAACCCATTTTTGCAAATTTTTTTGGCCTGGTTTAAATAGCAGATGGCACGTGAAGATTCTGGATTGTCGCAGTTCCAAAAACCCGAATTTTAAAGATAACTTGAAACATTGTTTTGGTTATTACAAGTTCGTTGGTCCCATTTAGGGGTTGCAATAGGGTCGGTTAAACACAGAGAGACCTCTTACGTAATGTATGTCTTTTTTTTGTAGGGAATCTTTGGGGTTCTTAAAAATAACAGCCAGCTGCTCAATTAAGCAACACCAATTTTGGACAAGCCCAAAAAATGGCGAAACATTTCTGTAGCGATTTTTTGGTGAAATAAAAGAACCTTAAGAATTACTATGTTTGGTCAGAACAACAAAAGCGCACGGAAAAGCGGCGCATTACTGTGCCAGAAATAAAATTGAGACCCTTAAAAATTCTGAAGCATTTTTGTCGACGTTGAGCCTCCAAGCGCCTCTCCCCCGCCCCCCGCTAAGGATCCTGCGCCAGGAAATTTATTTTTTAGTTTCATCGGGCCATCGCTCCCGAAAAATAAATGCAGATAATATACTACAATAATGCATCTCTAAGGTATCCAAACGCTCGCTGAGCTTCGAAGAAGGAGCCGTGGCCGAGCTGGTCGTTGAGGTGAACGAGGAGGATGTCGAAGCCGAATGGACCAGGGATGGCCAGAAGCTTGACGCGTCCTACACGACCACAAATGAGAAGAACTATTGCCGTCTGAAGTTCCGGGTAAGCTGAAAATCGACCGTCTCGTTGAAAAATGTTTTAGATCTCTATTGCCCAAAAACTAGCTTTAAAACATTAATGATATGAAAAAATTGTGTTTCAAAGTTTCCGGACGCAGACATCAGTTTATAACACCCATTTCTTGATAATCATCAACCCATTTCTTGTTAAAAATAATTTTGTAAAGTCCCTGCCCAAAACCGAGTTAGAAAAATAATTTTTTTCCTGTTGAAAACATGTGTTTGAAAATTTCTTAATGCGAAACTCGAAGCGGGGCAATTAATTCGCGGATTTCTTTAGCTCTTTAAAAAACAGGTGCATCGTGTGCCGGCCATTTTATTGCGTAATCAATTACTACCCTGTTTTCGGCCGAAGCGACGTGCGCGTTGCGTGTCGCGGCGCGGCCAATTCATGAGGAAACCACAACCAACCAATCCATGCCTTTCCAATCTCTTTAATGCGCTTTAGCCCGAACAGATTATGACCTGAAATGCGAACCATCACCTTACAACTCAATGCCTTTAAGGCCATCGCCACCACCGGAGGCACTTACGTCTGCAAGGTGAAATCGAAGGACGGACAGACGGCTACTGTCGATTTTGAAGTGACCGTCAATGGTAAGTGGGAGGGGGCAGGCTAGCAGAGATCATTTGGGATGAGAGAGAGGGGGAGGGGGCAGGCTGGCAGAGATCATTTGGGATGAGAGAGGGGGAGGGGGCAGGCTAGCAGAGATTATTTTAAACATTTTATTATTTCAGAAATTTCATTTATTAATTTCAGAAAAGCCGAAGGTTACGGTAGAAGAGAGCGAAGTCGAAGTCAACGCCGGAGAATCCGTGCAACTGTATGCAAATATCTCTGGTCACCCACCGCCAATCTGCACCTGGACCAAGGATGGCAAGGCCCTGAAAGCGGATTCGAAGCATGCCATGAAGGAAAAAGTGGGTTTAGGAAGTTGCTTATACCGTGAGAAACTAAAGAAGTTCCACAGGCAACCAACATAAACTTCTTCATGCGAGTTTTCGAACAGCATTAAGTTTCTACGAAACATTTTCTTAGATTATAAAGTGAAAACCATGAAAAACCTTGAAAAACCATGAGAATAACATGTGCTACTGGCCTTTGAAAAATTATCGAAATTATCGAGAGGAAATGATGAATAGTTATGGGAATCAATGACTTCCTTGTAAAATATAGAACCAACAACGTGGTAGAAAAATGTTTCAATGTTTTGCATGCCAGAAATGGTAACTGGGCAAATAATTCGAACCATTTTTGGATCGGTTCATCGCAAAGTCTCTAAATCGCAATATCTATTCTGAGGACGCGTTTTCGATAGATTTTAGGTGTAAGGAAATAGATTTTGATTTTATATTAACGGTATCGTACGGGCGTTTAATGATAGTATCGCAAATATCTTACCAAAATTTACATTTTCACGAGAAAGATTGGAAAACAATTTTATACCCAAAACATTTGTTCGACTTTGTTCCGAGGTAACGATGGTGTTAAAAAATAAGTACCAAAAAGAATGTTTTAACCATAGCCCTTACGAAACCGCGAAAATGATGAATAGTTTGATCCTTTTTGATCCGAGATAAAATTCATCGAGTTCAAAACCTCCATTTCCAGGACGGCCTGGCCACGCTGACGATCAAGAACTGCCAGGCCGACTCGGCGGGCACGTACGTGCTGCTGGCGAAGAACAAGACCGGCGAGACGGTCGTCAAGATCAAGCTGGCCGTTAATGGTATGTTTTCATTTACATGTTTCCAAAAATTTCCTGGTTGCCCAAAATGCTTTGCTGGCTAATCAGCCTCGGGGGAAAGGTATGAGAAATGTTACAAAAATGCGAAACCAACAAAATTAAAAAATTAAAAATCGTAGTTAAAGGGGCTCAGAAGTCAGAATTCGTGAGTGCGGGGATTGAACCTAGGGGTCAAAAAACGAAAGGGTCACCGCCGAGAAGTGCCAAAAACGTGATTTGACTGCGACACAACGTAAAATGTTTCAGAAAAACCGAATTCTTTTTGGGGCAAAACGACATTTTGAGTGCGCGGCGATTACATGTCGTAATGCCTTGTAAGGCACCCAATCTCTCGATCTCGGTGATTCTCTACTCAATTTTCATAATTTAAAAGTCTGGAATGATCAAAATTCGCTGAGGATTCCAAAAATAGTATCAGAATTTTTAAATTCAAGCGTTTTCGCGTCCAAACAGGGGCAAAAGACCATGCGGCGCGTTCGCGTTGCGGCCGCATCTGGCTATTTGCCAGGAATCACAGCAGGGGGCCGTGGACCAGATTTCGGGAGCCCCTTTAATGATGCCCAGCTGGCAAAACATAATATGTTTCAAAGAAGTTAATGGTTCCGCTAAGGCTTTTCACGCTAATCCTTGAATTACCCTGATTCAAAAATATACCTACCTGAATTAAAAGTTAAAAAAATAAAATCGCAATAAAAAGATAGAAAATGAAATCCGAAAAGAAACCCCCATTGCGTAATTTTTCTACAAGCTGTTCGCTAATGGTTCGGTAATTGAAAACTAAGTGTTCCATAAAAATTTTTGGTTCCCCAAAAATCTTGCTGGTCAGTCTCGAGTAACACATTTATCTAATTTGCTCTGAAAAGTAGGTAAGTTAAAAATAGATGTTTTTTAAAACCCATTGGTTGGGGAAACGGTTTCCTTTCTAATGGGCAACCATCAAAAATTCCAAATTTTTCAAAGAATCCTAAGCATCGCAAATCACTATAATTTGTTATTTTTGCTTACAACACGCAATGGTACTGAATTTTGGTATGGATTTTAAGGAAACAAAAATTTATAATGTACAAAAAGCAAAAAATAAAGTAAATATCGCAAAATTGAGGCGCTAGCGCAAAAATCGTAGTTAATAGTGCGAATATTTGTGAAAAATGTGTCTGAAAGCAATTAAAAAACCAAAGGCAATTAAATCAAAACTCAAATTTAAATAATTAACATAATTTTAGCGCCAGGAGCGAAGAAGGCCGAGGGTAAGTGGTGTACTGTAGTGTACCGTAGCGCCCCTGTCATTTTTAATTTTTTCTGTTGCATGACATATAGTTTTCCAGTTCTAGAAGGGTTCTAAAATCTGATTAAATTTAGACAAACCGCTGCCAGCCCCGGAAAAACCTACCGTAACCGGTGTCACCCAGAACACCGCTACCGTTGCGTGGAAAGCTGCGGAATCGCCGGCCGTCCATTATGTGCTCGAGTACAAGGAGGTCAGTTTTTCGGGGCTTAGGCTTGGCTTAGGCTTAAATTAGGCTTAGGCTTGGCCTAGGCTTGGCTTAGGCTTAAATTAGGCTTAGGCTAACTTACCTGGCTTAGTGGCTCAGAGCCGGAAGTCTAATAAACATTTTTGAAGCTATTGGGAACGGAGCATTAACTATATAGGCACACGACTCTTTAATCATTTTCAGTGAAACATGCATTTTCACCGGAATTTTTTCAGCTGAAATCCAAGCGCTCGTGGCAATCGGTGACCAAGGACAAGATCACTGGCACCACCTACACGGCCGAGGGATTGAAGAAAGGTATGAATGTAATCTAATGCTGCCCTTTAAACTGCTCACATTACTCTAGGCTATTTTATTATTAAATGAACTACTGAAATTCAAAAAATCTTAAATTTGGAATGGCTATTTTAGTAATTCTACATCCAATTACGTCAGTGCAGTTCAGCTAGCAAGTTTGGCCCGATTTTGGGATCCAAAAAATACACAAAATGTTTCAAAAACTTGTAAAGTTCAGTTTTTTAAGGCAATTAATAGGTCATGTCTCCGCACTAGCAGTGCAGCTTTTTCAGATCTCGATTTTTGAATTTCGATAATAACTAGGCTTACTTGTAGTCGCTAAAATCTAATTTCATTTCATTATTTTATATTAATCGCATTCGATCTTTTACTTTATACAAAAGAACCGGAAATTCGGCCTGACGGCCGAGAAATCGGCTGTACAGAAAACACACATACTTTTGTCGCTTATAGGATAGGATAGCAATTCTCATCATGCCATATTGCTTAATTTTTTTAAATTCCCAATTTTAAATTAAAATTTTTAATTTAAAAAAAATACGTGTTTCGAATATTTACGATACATTGATTTTTATACACCTAATTGATTGCGGTTTTCCCTTTCACCAGCTTGCTGTTGTGAGAAGCTTAGCTTCTTAAAAGGTTTCATAATAATATCATATTATTAAGGGTATTAATCTCGTATTTCAGACATCGAATACCAGTTCCGCGTGTCGTACGCAAACGCGTCGGGAACCGGACCCGCCTCCGAGCCATCGGACCCGGTGAAATGTGAAGACCGGAAAGGTGGGTGCATTTGGCTTCCTGGCACCTTTAAAAGGACGTGCCTAAAAACTATGATAAATTGTGACCAAGAAAATCAGAAAATAAATGCGGAAATTAAATTTTAGTGCTTCAAAAAATTTCAAAACGAGTGAAACTATCGTGCCATTAATGCTGCATGGGTACCTCGTCGCGCAAAAACAAATCCAGCGTAAAATTATTTCGCTGTCTGTTCGACGTTTTTTGACGGATTCATCTTAATATTAAAAAATTATATATTTTTTCGTTTTAAAATGCTTGAATATACCATCGTTTTGAGAATATATTTCAAGAATAATTCACTAAAAAACGCGTTCGGCTGTTTCAATTGAACCTAATACCGAATAGCTCGCAAAAATTACTAAAATCGAGTGATAGTAAAAACATGTTTCAGTTAAAATAAATAAAACGCGATTCGGGCTTTTGGTAATCCGTCCTGGCCCAAAATTCGAAAACATCTGCTATAAAGGAATTTAAATTATAATCCTTGTAACAAAAATAAGTATAAATTAGGTGTCATCATTATGCCTTAAAAATTGTAAATATAACTCGGTTTTGAGAATATGTTTAAGTAAAAATTAATAAAAATCATTTCCGCTTCTCTCAATTGAATGCAACGGGAGGCGTCTCTAAAAAAACTGGAAGCCTACGCGGTTTTCAAAGCATGTTTCGCTTACAAATAATGAAAAATGATTTAAACCACTTTACACTAGGTAACAAAATAATAACAATATTGCAATAAATTCTTGTAAAATAGTTAATTATAAATTAAAATTAGTTAGTTAGTTATTAAAATTCCCAAATTTTTAGAAGATAAGGAAAAATCGGAGCAGGCCAAGGGGGCCGAGGAGGAGAAGGAGGTGGCGGCGGCCGAGAAATCGGCCGCCCAACCCGACGAGGGTGCTGGAGGTATTTGTGAGCGTGAAAAATATCAATGTTTTAGCTAGAGAGTGTGTTGCACCTAGAAACTCTATTTTTGGTTGCTTTGGGTCATTATCATGCACTCACCTTTCTGCACTTTTTGTTATATATATTATCTTTATGTTGTGCGGAGCACATTAAACTTGATTATACACGAAAATGTTTAAATTTTTTTACATTATAAACCAAAGGCAAATCAATAAAAAAATATTCGAAAATTGAGTGTTTCAAAAAAATTTCAATATCTGGTCAAACTTGACGCATTACTGCAGATTGTTTTCTGTGCGCCGACTATATCTTCTGTATTTTTTCGGAAAAATTGTCCAGTCAGTACGCTACAACTTACATTAGTATGTTAGTAAAAAACGGTTCTGAAAAACTTGCTTTGTTTTTATTACAAAAATTATATACGAAAAAAAGTCTACTTCACCCCGATAATGCAATAGCGCCATTTAATTTCTTTTTCCGGGCTTTGCCGGAGGGCTATTAAAAAGCATTTATTTACACTAGTCAAGTCGAATAGTTGTGAATATTTGTATATTTTATATTTGTAGACATGCTAGATACTCGGGCATTGTTATTCCTTCCGCCCATTAAACTTAAGAAATCGATAACAGGAATTTAAAATTAAATATTTCGCAGAAATGCCAATTTTTGTGCAAAATAGACCAATTAGTAAATATTCATTTTAGGTTGACAATAAAAAATAAATGAAATAAGGTAACTTGATGCCCGAATTGAACTATTAAATCCGGGAAGTAAAAAAAGCATGCTTCAAGGCATATGGGGGTAGAACAGCTAATTTTTAGATCAATGGGCAGTTTTGCGAATCATACTAATTAAAATATTAGTTAAATATTAAATAGAATCAGCTTGGAATTAAATTAAGAATTAAATTGAAGCCAGCTAGGCATTAAAAAAATCTAATAAACTGTTTTTGAATCCGCTAGTCTTCTCCTTGGTATTGTCGCACCTTTTCGTTGCGTTCGGCACTCACATTGTCTTAAATTGATAAACTCTATTAAAAAACGCTTTTAGTCGAAGCGAAGCCCGAGTTCACCACCAAGCCAGAAGACCTCGTGGTGGCAAAGGAGAAGGGCAAGGTGAAGATGGTCGTCGAATTCCGCGGCCAGCCCCAACCCGAAGTACATTGGTACAAGAATAAGAAGGTAAGTGTGTTTTGGGAAGGCAAGGCCAAGGACGCCTAAGCCAAGCCTAGGCCTAAAACGGTACGCATTTTTATTACGCATTACAGCGTGCGCGTTGCGTGTCGGAGATGCGGAAAAATTCATAAGAAATCTGAGATTCGCAAACAATACTGAGCAAACCGATTCGCACCAATCATTGAGTTTGAGCGAAACATTGGATTTTTACTCTGCAGCAGTAATGACGCAGCATGCGAGTTTAAAGGAACTAGGAAGGCAAGCCGGGCCGAGATTCGGGTTGTAGGCGACTTAAAGGGGTCCGTAAGGCACGATTGCAGATACTTGTCGTTCGCCCATTGGGAAGAGGATTCACAAAATATTTTCGATTCCGCGCTAGAAAGAACTTTTGACTTTAGAAGAGCGAAACGGATTCGGAAACTTAGAAATTTTAAAGGAGCCGACTAACTGGTTATTAAAGGTTTGATAATTCGCGAAAGCCATAAATTCGATGAAACATGTTTTCTAAAAATCGTGTTCAGACTTCCTTCCTAGACATCAGGCCTTTTTTTCCTCGAATGAGGCTCCGCACTTGTTCGTATCATATTGCCCATTGCAACCCTAAAATTTCCCGAAAAATGCAAGTTGAATGAAAATGTTTTTTAACTCAGTTTCTTACGCTTTTGAAGCTACGTCTTGCTTCAGGAAATCTTCTCCGGCAAGCGCCAGTGGATCGAGACGGTCCCCGGCACGTCATCACTGTCCATCGGAGAAATGCGGGAGGACGACGAGGGAGAGATTACGGTATGTTCAATGTTATTAAACATAAAACTTTAGATATTTTTGAAGCGAGAAATAAATATTGTCTAATAAATATTGAGGAAAAAGTTTAGGCTATGCTTCCTTTTTGAGAAAAGTGACGGTTAAAAAGCCAGAATTACAAAAAATCTACTCTCTGTCTGCGCTGGAAATCTTGAAACAAATAGAGTATTTTTTCTGTACGAAAAACGCATAAAATAGGATTTCATCGTATTAATTAAAAGAAATATTCAATTAACCATTCTTATTTTTTTGGTTAAACTGTAGAACTGTTCAAAAATACAAAACTGAAAAATCCAACTTTCGCGTCGCATCCGCCCGTCGATTAGCTCCAAACTGTTCCGCTATTTTAAAAGCAAAGTCGAAACACATTTTTGAAGTTTGAATCAACTCGATTAAAATCCTACTATATATAAAAAAATAGTGTTTGTGTGTGTGTGTGCCACTTTGCATGCAACTTCCGTCAGGGTGTCCGGAGAATATCTCAAGGGGGAAAGGGTATTAGGCTACGTATGATACGCCATTAGGTGCGTAATGAAGCCGAGATGACTGCACGCATATCAGATTCTACAAATTATGCTATTTTCGACATTGAAAATCAATTTTTGTTAAAAATCGGGCAGCCTCTTTGTTAGGAATTAATTAGCATCAGCCGGAAGTGGCGGCAGTCTATATAACGGCGGAACAGGTGCATTTTTCATTATTTTTCATAGAATTTGGCCGAATTATGCAAAGGGGGGGAATATCATGGGATCAGACGGGGCCAGGGTTGAAAAGTCGCGAAGCGGCTTTTCAACCCTGGTTTTTGATTTATTAAAATTTATTAAAATTGCAGAATTATTTAATAGATAGTTAAACTGTCCAAAAACACCACCTAATAAAATTAATAACCCGGATTTTCAGATCAAACTGAAGAACGCCCTCGGGGAAGCTAGCCACAGCTTCAAGCTCTGTATGGATTCGCCGCCACAGGTAATTTTTTAATTATTTAATTATTGTAATTTTGAACCGAATTGTTTGTATGATCTCCAATAGCACGTTCCGATCACATTCCTCAACGAGCCTTGCTAGCATAAACTGTGCCATCCTCGCATTAACCCAGAAAAAAAATTGGCCTTTAATCTAAAGGTTTGAAACATTATTTACAACCGGAACAGCCACGGCCCATTTTTTAATTTTTTCTCGTTATTTAGTTATTCTACGTTAAGCCATGAAAGTGAACTAGTTTTAAACTACATTCCCGCAAGGCTACCTGTTAAATTTTGAAAAGCTTGGTCCGCTTCCTTTAACTGAGATAAAGAATTGCGGCTTTACTCGAGATTTCGAAAGATCTTTTTCTTACTTCCTCTGCCGTTCCTGGGAATAAATTGAAGTATTATTGCTAACTAACCAGGATAACCTTTTCGCAATTTTTGAAATATTCCAAAAATGGAACAAAGCAAAAAAAGACGGAAAAGAGTGTCTTTAATTTCGAGCGTAAAAAATAGTTTTTACTTATTCGGTTCTGCTGCCTGAAATTATAATAGTGAAAATATTCCAAACGGATCACTGCTCAAATTTTGAAAATTCTCGTCGAACGAGCAACAGGATTCAGTAAAAGAATAATCCCCGTTTCATGTGAAAGTATGAAACACACTTTGCTCCAAAGCAATTCGAAGCCTTTCGTTTTTCGTTGCTTTAGTCAATGCTATATTCTTATGTAATTTTCATATATTCTTATTTATAGTCATAGTTAAATACAATTAAGCACAAAAAATGTTCCTCAATGCTCTCTGCTAGCTAGTCCGCCTCTTTTTGGCGAAGTTTGGCGTAAAGAGGAGAGTACGATCAACTAGAGTTTGAAATTCATACTTTACTTAGAATTTTGAAACATGATTTCTTACACCAACAAGTCCTATTTTTTTTCTTAAGTTTGTTTTACATCAATTTAACTAACTAAAAATAATAAAGCTGGGTGAATAACAATTCCCTAAAGGCGCTCTAAAGAAACTTGGTATTGCGGTCCTAGATGTGGGCGCGTTCGTTATATTAAAACTCCACAATTCACACAAAACATTGCAACACAATTTTTTTACTCCCCATTTTTTTCCAGATAAACCGCGTCGACCGCTACGCGTCTGCCCAGCTGTTCGACAAGGGCGACACCGTCAAGCTGCGCCTCTCCTTTACCGGTTGGTGCCTTTAGACTTCAACTAACAAGGTTTGGAATGGAATGGATTGTAGGAAGACAAAAACTCAAATGAAACTTTTGAAATTTTGTGTTTTTAAAAATGTCGAGGATCCAAAAAAAAATTCTAATTGTCATTCATTGCTTGAAATTTCTCAGCGCGACCACTATGATCTAAAAAAAGATGTTTTAAGAATACCGCAAGTCCCGGAATTTTGATTACCTTTATTAGGACAGCGTTAGTCCCCTGAAAACGCCATTTATCCAACCTCCAAAACCTATGTTTCACCAAAAATTTCAGTTGCCAAAATTTAAAGTCTTGCAATGATTTTCTGTGATGAATCGCCCTGAAATTTTCCAAAATCCGGAAAATTCCGGTCGCGTCAAAATTCGCTTAGAAAAAATTCCTCTTGATTCCTTCATTAGTGTTTGTTTGCTATGTTTTTCGTGGTGATTAAATGAAACAGATATAGGAGTCCATAAATTCACTATTTTTGTCCAAAACTAATGTTTCGCACAAATTCGGTCTTTTGCAAAATTGAAATTAGATAATGGGGTCATCGTTCGAAAAGCGCAAAAATTCAATGTGAATTTAAAATTAGCGATTTGGCGATTTTGCGATTTTGTACGTTACGCCAAGAGCCTATGTGCGCCTGCGATAAAGAGAGAGAGAGAGAGAGATAGATAGAGAGAAAAAGATAGGGGGAGAGTGAGAGAAAGAGAGAGGAGGAGGAGAGGGGGGGAGAGAGGGGGGAGAGGGAAGGGGGGGGGGGGGAGGAGAGAGAGGAGGAGAGAGAGAGAGAGAGAGAGAGAGAGAGAGAGAGAGAGAGAGAGAGAGAGAGAGAGAGAGAGAGAGAGAATAAAGAGAGGCCAGACGGTGCAGGGGCCTGTTAGCCTGTTAATTTTCATGTTACAAAAAAGCAAGTAGTCTCCGATCAGATTCTTCGTTGAATTTTTTTTTGTAAGCTTTATTTAGAACATTGAATTTTTCAAAAGCTCCCTTGACAATCCATTCCAAAGGTTTGCCGTGTGCTGTCAAAATTCTAACCCGTTGATATACAGTATTTTTCTTCAATTATCGATATTTATTTTGTATATTGTGTATCTTAAAATCCAAAAATCCGCACACAGTATTTATCAAAAATTTTATAAAAATCGCTAGCGCTTTAAAACTGCCGACCACACAAAATTAGCATAAAAATAGCCTGGACCTTTGAAAAAAATAATTATTCCAAAAACCTGGTAAAAATATATTATTAAGGAAGGCATTATCTGATCGTGGAAATAAGTGATTTAAAAAATTTTCATAACCGAAAAAGGTTGAAAAATATTTTTTTCACGGCACTCGTTCGGGCAAATGATATAGTTGGGGGCGAACTAAATTAGCATCAAAATAATGGGAAAAATTAAAAATGACAATTCCAACTTGAGCATGAGCTTATTTCGAGTTCTCCAAGTCCTCCCTATCGGCCTCCTCCTTCCACTTGAGCATCGACTTGAGCGCCTCGGCCTGGTGCTCATTCTCCATTTTTTGCTGCTCGGCGGCTTGCTCGTCCTAAAATTTGAATCAAATATGATCTTTAAAAATGGGGTAAATTATAATTTAAACTATAAAATTGTAAAATTTATAAGGTATGATGAATGCAAAAATTTAATGTTTTCTCCATTTAAAACTGAATCGAAACTCGATTTAAAAAATAAAACAAAAACAAAAGGCAATCAGAACTAAAAATCAATTAAAAACTAAGCGAAAATTAAGTGGAAAAAAAGGTGTGTTTTAATGTTAGGGCACTGCAAACAATTTTCGAAATTATTGATCGGAGAACTTGAAGACCCTCCACAAAACAGTTTTTATATGTATTATAATTAACTTGTTAGGCACTGCAAAATACACTAAAATCAAATAAAAAGCAAAATATAATACAGACTATGAAAAAAACAAAACAAAAAAGGAAAAATTTTAAAAACATGTTTCAAAAAGTTTCAAAATGCCGAAAATTTTTGATTTTCGAATGAAGCTTGAATCCGCATTTATTCTTTTGATCTCCAAAAAAACTTGAACCATGTATATAATAAAAATAAAAATATGCTTTTCACGATTCAATCAAACATTTTTAAAAACACAAAAATGAAATCCAAAATAATCCAAACGTTCACCGGTGTCTCGCGTAGTCGGGGGCCAAATTAGAGTAGTTAATCTCAGGGATTTCGAGGGGGATTTGCATAAAAATATCCAAAGATCAGATTTAATATAGGAAAATTAAAATTAAGTCACAATATAGACATCTGGGCTTACGGTAGATTGTAAAAATCTAGGCGTTAAAATATCAGAAATTGTACAGGCTTTGGGTGAAATCACGTGTGAGCGTTTTGCAGTCCGGAGATTTGTAAATTTACAGTATTAAAAATGTAATGGCATTTTACAAAATATATATTAGCATTTTAAAAGGACCGGGAAGCGATGGTGATGACGACAAAGTTAAAAAAACATTATAAAAATCCAGAAATAAAGGAACTTCTACCCGTTTCGGTCGGAGAATCGCGTAATAATTGTGTGGGGATCGACTCGATTGGCTAGAGAGTGGGGGACGAGATGGTGAGAGAGAGACAGAGAGAAGAGAGAGGGAGCGAGGGAGAGAAACAGAGAAAAACGGGGGTTTTCGATTTTGGGGGTCAAATTTCGGCGGATTTTCAAAAGCTGCCTTCTCAGCAAAATACTCTCGGCATTTTTTTCAGTAAGAACCCAAAAATCTGGTGATTTTTAAAATTTTGCAAAACAAACAAATTTCCAAAAGAAAACGTTGGAATTAGTCTGGTCGCCAATTAACGATTGTCATTGGTTCCGTTTTCGTAATTTTTTCGAAACACTTTTTTTAATCCAATGTTGGGAACATCCGGAAATCAGCCCAAAAATCGATGAAAATACAAGGAATTGGGAATATCGCAATACAGGAGAAACACGCATTAACATTAATAAAAGCACTCCATAAACCACGGTCGGGAAGTAGTAAGTATAGATAAGTAAGAGGATCGGTATAGGCAACATTTCTGAGTGGCTGGGGGCAAGTCAAATTCGGAGTGGGAATTTGGGGAAAAGGGTGGAAGCGATTTTACTTTTCCTGGATTTCAATATATTTTGTTCAATGCGCTTTCCCATTTTCTATATTAGACTTGGTGCCTTAGAGCGGCCTAAAAATTCCGGGTTTCAGGATTTGAATATACCTGGATCGAGCTGGAACCCTGAATAGGCAAGGGAATTTCGTCGGCTCAAAATAAATATGTTTGGTAATTGTTTATTTCTCAAAAAAAACCCCCGCAAAAAAGATAGTGCTTCAAAATGCAATTATACATCGAAACTGTTAAATTTTAGAATCTAACAAAACACGGTTTACAAAAAAATATATTTCATAATTTTGCACAGTCAGAATAAAATTTGGCTTTTAATGTATGTCCGTATCCTCTTCCCCAAAAATGTCACTTCCACCCCGTCAAAAAGTACGGTAGTATACGTTAAAAAATGTATAAAAATGGGGTGAAAAAGGGACTGTAAAAAGGTGTAATCCGTAGCATACTTTAACAATAGTAGTAGTAGGTGCGTACAGTCGCGTACAGCCTCGTACAGTGTCGTTAGGAAAGGCGCGTAGTGGTAGTGGGGTGGTGTACGGTAGTATTGATGTATTATAATTCCCCATGGTTGTTGAGGATGGCCTTTTGCGAGCCGTTCGGCCCGGGCGGGCCTCCTTCCGCATGAGCCTCCGATTGCGCCTCCTCGTCCTGGAATTTTTCGCATATTTAAATTTGGTTAGTCGGGAGGTGTCATTTGGAGCGTAGTGTAGCTTTTTTAGTTTTCTTTAGCTTGCGATTAGGCGATTTTGAAGGTTATGCAAATTAGGGTGGGGGAAACTCAAGCACTCGATTAATTCATGGATTTTATTTGTGTTTTAGGGGTTTAAAGGGACCGGAAAGTCAGATCTTCTGTAGATCTTTATGTAAATTACATAATTTAAAAATTAAGGTTGTTTTTAAATTCGGGACGAAATTCAGATGACTTCCCGGTCCCTTTACGCTTGACAATTTTGGTTAGTGCATTTCTTCATATGGGAAATTAGGATGCATTTTGTGCTAAATAGCATAAATTATTTTCCGTATTTTGATGTCAGTTTAATAATTTTTCCTTAGGTTTTGATTTTGTAAAAAATATGAAACATCAGTTTTCAAAGAAACGAATGAATTGAATCTGCCACACTCGTACTAGATCCCACAAAAGCTTATATGTCTCGTATTTTTTGAAACATTTTTTTTGTTCCGAAAAACCTAAATTTTCCGATTTTGAATGTTTTCGTTATTTTAAAGCGTTAAAACCCATAGACTTTATTTAATGAAAAATATGGATAAGCAAGTTTTAACTAAACCACCAACCTGCGCCACCTTGATAAAGTTATCGACGATGATCGTGATCGGTAGCGCCAACACCAACACACCGCACATAATTGCGGCCGAGGCGATGATTTTGCCCACTAAAAACAAAGGATTAATCAGGCTATCAAATCTATTATTAAGTATTTTTTATTAAGAAGCATAGTTTAGACTTCGCAGCCCTAAAAAAATACAGAAATTTTTTAGCTAATCAAATGTTTCGACTTTTTCCGTAGTTTTTTTTACAACAACGGATGGTAATTCATCGGCGTCTTCTTTATTGACAAATATTTTGAACAAAACATGTTTTTAATTTTGCTTTAAATACTACTGTTGCTTTTCCGATAATTGCAAACGATACCGCGTTTTGAACAATATTAGGCGGTTTTCGGATGTAATAGGAGAGATTAAATGTTTCGGATTTTCTAGGCCTATTCCGAGAAATCAGAAACACAATGGTTATTTGAAATTGGCTAGAATCAACCATTTTTTTAGTATAAAAGTTCTTTCAACTTTCTTTAAAAGATAATAATTTGCTTTGATTTTTAATTGGCCACTTCGTGGGGTAAAAAATAATGTTTCAAGTCACCTTAAAAAGA